TTGGCACTCAGCAAAGCTTAAGATTCAAGGGATTAGGCGATAGGATCTAGTAGTTGAAATTGCAATACTTATTATAATTAAAATTTTTTTTTATAATTTCTCATTTTTGCCGTTGCTCCTGTCTGACAGAAAATAGAGACAGATTTTTCACTAACGTAAAATTAAAAATTGTAATTTATAATAGGAATTCACAGATGTATAGAAGGCAATTATGAATTATCTTAAGGTAATTTACCATATAGCACTGGCCCTGGCTTTAAATATATTAATTAATTTTGTAATTTATCCTATCAATACTTAATCGACCTAATGTTTTGTTGATTTCCATCAGAATCGCCTGTTCCAGCGTGATCATCGGGACCGCTTGGCCCTGCAGCCTGACAGCATTTACGTACCCCACATGCTGCCGCCTTCCGCTTACCTGGACAATCCCTCGAACGCGGTCACCACGAGGTTTGTAAAAACGGCCACGAACAAAATGCGGTGTCCGATTTTCACTCTGGCCTGGACACCGGAGGGCAGGCGTTTGGTCACCGGGGCCAGTTCCGGCGAATTTACACTCTGGAACGGCCTGACCTTCAACTTCGAGACCATTCTACAGGTGGGTTTCCTTAAAAAAAATCCAGTGGGATCAAAGTTAATCGGTAATCTTGTCAAACAGGCCCACGACATTTCGGTCCGAACTATGGTGTGGTCGCACAACGACAGCTGGATGGTGACCGGCGACCATGGCGGCTACGTTAAGTACTGGCAGTCCAACATGAACAACGTGAAGATGTACCAGGCGCACAAGGAGGCGATTAGGGGAATAAGGTATAGCCATTTAATTGTAATTGTCGACTGTATTTACCATTTTGTAGCCGCTGACGCAAGCCAACCAAGCCAAAACCAAATCCAGAATCGCGTTGTTGTTTTCATAGTTTCATTTCTTCGGATCTATTGGGCAGTTTTGGGTATTTTTCTTTTCCTAATCATGTTAGTGGATCGGTTTCCTTCAGGGCTGTTGCAAACACATACCAATAAAACCGTCAATTCAGCAACATGCCATCCAGATATCAGTTTCGCCTTACGGGCTACTTAAGTTTTAATCTCTCCCATAGAAGAAAAAGTCTAAAATATGTTGTAAGCCTCGAACTCTTCTGTGATATATCAATAAAAATGAAAAGAAATAAAAAGACTGAAAGTGAAATGATACAAATGCAATATCGACAAAAGCTAACAATAAAAGCATCTGACTCAGAACAAAAAGAAACCACTGCACAATTTTATTTCCGCGGCCACAACATCAACAATAAATAAAATGCATTGTGTTGCACTGATTGTTCGAAAAATCGGGGGTTCGAGTGTTTTCTTTCTCAAGACTGGCGATAAATCTTGGCGTATGGGCAAAAGTGAAACTAGAAGATCTTGTCCTACCGAAAATAAATAAAATTGAAAAGGAGTTGTGTTGGAATGCAATAAAATGTTTATATAATCATCTTTTTAAAACTTAATTACATTCATTTGGACTTTTAGTGTTAATTAAGAACCATTCAAAAATTTTTATTTTATTCGATCACAAATCATCTGTAAAAGTCAAATATAAAACGTTGAGAAGTAATCAAAAACAATGTATTTAAAACCCAGATTGCGCAAATTATTTTACAAACAAAATCATTTAAAGTTTAGCTACATTTACAAAATAAAATAAATTCGGAATTGTTTTTGCACGGCTGCTATGCGTTCAAACTTAACAAAATTACACCCAAATAAAATAGGCACTTACTTTGTTTCAGGCCGACCTCTCCTAGTATGTTTAATCAGTTTATATTTGCACTCACTAGGTTCTTTTACTAAATAACAGTAGCTTAATCTATGTTTAACCACTTATATCTTATACAAAAAATAAGTGAATCATTATCATTCGTTAACATCGCCCACACTCATAATCACCTTCCGATTCGTGTTTTGTTACGTTCTAACCGTTCTCCAATGCCATCCACCAAACGCAGTTTCAGTCCCACGGACAGCAAGTTTGTCAGCGGCAGCGACGACGGAACCCTAAGGATTTGGGACTTTATGCGGTGCCAGGAGGAGCGAGTGTTACGAGGTGAGAACTAGAGGATTTTCCAAGAAAAAGGACCAAAACTTAACAAAATTATCCTAACCAGGACATGGAGCAGACGTCAAATGCGTGCACTGGCATCCTCACAAGGGAATGATCGTCAGCGGAAGCAAGGACAACCAGCAACCCATTAAAATCTGGGATCCCAAGAGCGGCATTGCTCTGGCCACGCTGTAAGTACTTGAAACTTATACATATTTAATAAAAGTACTTTGTGTTTATAAATATACAGTGGCGTGCAAGTCTGAGTACAAGCTTGCCACTATTGGCTTTGGGTTTTTTGCAAAAAAAAAATTCTAAATATTTTTCCTTGTATTTTTTATAATTTTTTAAAAATAGCTAAAAATTAAAATTTTAGCCTCTTTTTTCTCCTTTTCATACAAAATTTTACTGAGATCTTTTCATTCAAAAAATCATAAAAAATACAAGGAAAAATATTTTGATTTTTTTTTGCAGCTATTATTAATTTTGCTTGGGGAAAAACTTTGCATCAAAAAATGTTTGTTTTAAGCCCCAGGAAAATGTTTCAAATTTGACTTATTTTGCTTTTAATTTCTTAATGAGACCAAATAGTTTTTTTTGTTATATTTTGTATACGAATTTGTTAATAAATATTCAAAGAATAAACAACAAATTTGGATTCATTTCCTTTACTAATAACTTTTTAATGCGTACCCAAAGTCAATAGTGGCAAGCATATACTCAGACTTGCACGCCACTGTAGATTGACAGTAGTTATAATAAATTTGAATAAATCTTAAAATCAATCTATCAAGAAGGAAGCTTAAAAAATAATTCTGTAGACCCTAAATTATCTAATTAAGATAACCCTCTATGTATTACAGACATGCCCACAAATCCACGGTAATGGATCTAAAGTGGAATGATAATGGCAACTGGCTGGTTACCGCATCCAGAGATCATTTGCTCAAGCTTTTCGACATTCGCAACCTGAAGGAGGAGGTGCAGGTCTTCCGTGGCCACAAAAAGGAGGCCAGCTCCGTTTCCTGGCATCCCATACACGAAGGTCTCTTTTGCTCTGGCGGCTCCGATGGCTCCATTTTGTTTTGGAACGTTGGGTGGGCTTAAGGTTTTTATTTTTAAAAAGTTCTTCGTCTAATTGATATCTTTGCTTGCAGTACCGATAAGGAGATCGGGTGTGTTGAGACGGCACATGACAGCATTGTGTGGACCCTGGCCTGGCATCCGCTGGGGCACATTCTGTGCTCTGGCTCCAACGATCATACGATTAAGTTCTGGACGAGGAACAGGCCGGGTGATCTGATGAGGGACAAATACAATCTGAACACATTGCCCGCGAGCTTGGCAGCTCTGGACGAGTGTGAATATGGTAGGCTGCCCCGTGTTTTGAGTATCCTTAATGTCCAAAAATCACAATGTCTACACCATCTTCCCAACAGATGATGCCATTATTCCCGGAATGGGTCCCGAAGATCGTGTTGAATTCACAGAAAGCTTAACCGCGGACAAGGGCTTTATTCCTGGTCTCGACTTGGATCCCAGCAGAGCTCTAAACGATCGAGACCGGGAGAAGAAGGTTCCGTACAGCAAGCCCATTCCCCGCAACTTCCAGGTGAACTGGGCGGGTCCCCGGAGAGCGGACGATCCCAGCGTGCTCAGCATCCACGAGGAGCTGGCCGCCCGCGAGGCCAAGGACTCGACAAGCGGGCTGAACCACCAGCAGATTAGCGAGAACACCATAGAGGGCATTCTGGCCAGCGGCATGCTCAATGGCCTCGATCCTCAGACCATTGTCGGTGTCCTTGTGTACAATCGGTTTATTCGCGTGCATCCGGACTCTCGACTGATGGCAGCCATTCGTCAGGGAACCGAGTTCCTCAACAAGTACATCGACGCGGGAAAGCTGGAGGAGCTCAATGACGTGGTTCCAGTGAGGGATCGCTCCAGATCTGTTTCGCCCACGGTGGAGGCACGTGGCGAGGTGGTTTCTCCGCCCACCAAGAAGTCCCGTTTCGAGCCACGACAGCATAACGCTCAATTAGTGTGTGTTCGTGAATTGCTGCAACTGAAGAAGCCCTTCCTGCAATCGCTGGTCACGGCGAAGGCCCAGCAACCCAACACCGAGTTCGTGGACGAACCTCCACTGGAGCAACGGGAAAGGGAGCGCGAACGGGAACGAGATGGTGATCGCGACAGGGAGTGGGATCGCAGCCGCGAACGGGAGAGAGATCAATCGGGAGGCAGGCCTAATCCGTGGGCTTCCCAAGCCCCCTGGTCAAATAATGGCAATTCCGGGGGCAATGGATCCAATGGCTTCGGCAACAATGGGGCGGATAATTTCAACGATCGTGACTTCCAAAAGGGTGGAAATAATGGAGGAGGTGGTCAACGTCGCCGACGTGGAAACAATAATTCCGGTTCCGGTGGCGGCGCAGGAGGCGGAGGAGGAGGCGGTGTCGGTGGAAGTGGAGGTGGCAGGAATCGCGGACGAAACAATAACAGGCGCTACTAATCGCTATCCCACCAATGCACCCATCTACACATTCTTAAGTTATAAGCCACTTTCTGTCGTTGACTCAATCTCTTTTGCAACCATTGTCTTTAATGCGAAAATCAATTTATATTGTTTAAAAAAGAACGAAAAGAAAATCAGATTGTAATATAGTATATAAATTGTGTGATTTATTTTTGCGGTTTTTTAGGACGGATCACTTGAAAATTACATGTAAAACACTGATTTTAACCAGGAGTTTTTTAACTCCTTTTATATATGTCCCTTTTTCTGCCGATTTTATAATTTCCGCTTTATAAGTTCCGCTTACTTACTTACTATTCTATCCATTATTTTGGCACGAGAATATGTTATCTTAAATTTCATCTCATTAAAAATACGAAAGTCAAAACAACCCTGTAATTCAAGGGGAACAACTTTGATATCTTTATTTTCGGAACTCTTACTAACAACTAAACTAATGAATATGTTTCAGGCAGCCAGTGAATTGCGGCGACTGCTGCGCTTGCTGATGCTGTCACGTCTATCGCTGGATTCCTCCTGCAATTGTGCGTCGACCTGGTTGCTGTTGTGGCTGTTGGTACGGGCATGTCTGAAGTTTTCCTTGATTTCGCGCTCCTCCTCGCGCATCCGATCCTTGGTATGCTGCTCGATGGTTCGCTGTATTTTCTCCGCTGACGCGACCAACTTGTCCGCCTCAAGTTTCACATCCTTCGGTGTATGGCTGCGACTTCTGCTGTTGCTACGACTGCTGCGATGACGACTTCGGTGATCACGGCGCGAAGTGGAGCGCCTCCGGGAGTGAGAGCGGGAACGCGATCGAGAATAGCTGGTGGATCGAGATCGGCGCGTTGATGCCAGTTTGCGGTTCTTGCGCTGTGACGCCGATTTGCTGCGGCTGCGCGAAGATCGGCTGTGGCTGCGCCTAAAAAGAATAAGAATTTCAATTAGATGCTTGATTTAATGGCAACCTATAATCTATAAAACCTTTTAAATTAACGAGTGCCAGTACTGTAATATATTTATTTTTTTACCTGGATCTTGATGAGTAGGATGACTTTCGATAGTGTGACCGACTTCGCGATTTCGAGCGCCTAGAACGACAAACAACACTATATTTGCTTATAATATAGTGTAATCATAAGGTACGCATCACTTACCGACGTCCCCGGGAACGACTTCTACTCCTTGAATACGAAGATGAAGAACGGGAGCGATTTCTGAAAATAAAAAACAATCAATATATTTAAGAGGTTTTACACACTTGTACCTGCTTAAAATTTAATTTGTTCATTTCCTTGTAGAATATAGTTTTAAGACAACTACCACTTTAAAATGTAAAAAAAATCTTGTACCTAAAATGTAATTTTTGAAATTTGTAACACTCTGAGGACTCAATATCTCTTTGCGGAATGAAGTAACTTAATTTATAAAAAACGGATTCAATGTTTTCAAGAATATTACCTGCCCCGCGACGGCTTGTGGTAGTAGCCATTGTCGCCATCGTCATCGTAGCGATCATGCTTGGAATTGTAATAGGAGTCGTATCCGGAACGACCGCCTCTCATCCCGATGCCACGACCCCTTCCGCGACCTCGAGGACGCGGGGCGAAGCCTCTATAGTTGCTGGATACGGGAAACGGAGCTGGTGGACGGTATAGAGCTCCAGGAAATACACCTGGCAAGCCGTATCCAAACATCGAGAGGGACTGCATCCATTCGCTGGCTGCTTCGGCACTGTAGGCACCAGCTCCTGGGACAGCGGCCATTGCTGCTACCGCTTTCAACGGGTTGAGTGCTGCGTTAACGTCGGTTGCTGTCGCAGAGTCAGTTATACCATTGCCTAATTTGTGCCTTTTACTGGCCGCCACTTCGTCATCGCTGCTTGCGTCCATGGGCGCAGAACTCTTTTTGGATTTGCTCTTAAGAAGACCCATTAATGGAGTATTGCTTTTAATGTCCTGCACAATTTTTCGCTGATCACAGACGAGCTTCTCTGTAGCAGCCTTGTATTTTTCGACCAGACGGCCACGTTGGATGTCCTTGACTTCATCTTGTTTGGCTCGACGGTTTTTGTCCTTCTGTTTCAGCTATAATAGAGTAGTACAGATAATTAATTTTATTATATTTTGAATTTACAAAAATTTTCCTCACCTGTATTCGTTCGAATAGCTTTTCCAGGGTGCGTATACTCTCCAGCTTGCGTTGGGCTATCATCAGCTTCCGTTCTTCGATGCGTATCTTTTGCGATATTTCCACCTGGCCTCGCTCCTGGATCTTTTTAAGATGCTTTTCTTTCCGCTTTTCTTCGCGTTCACGCTGCTTTTCTGCTTCCGCTGTTTTCAACTCTTCTTGCTTTTGCCTGTAATTTTTGTTGCAATGTTTGCGGGTTTTGTTTTGCTTTTGATATATTTGTTATGCATAATAAATATTTGTTAACTGTTCGTCTAGAAGATACAGAGAACGGTTGGCTAAAGGCTCGCCTCGCCCAGCGGCCGCCAGGTGAGAAGCATAAATATGAAAATTAAAAATGACCAGATATGAAAACAGTAGTACAGCAAGGCTCAACTTTAAGAATATTATGGATTCATTGCCTAGATAACAGGCGAAGGGGAAGTCGAACATATTAAGTTATTTCGTCTTTCAAATACATTAATCTTTACTCCACTGATGTATAAAAAATAAGGATTGTTTTGGCAAAAAATTTTTTAGGGATTTGAAGTGATAGAAAACCTTGAAATGATTTACTCATTAAACTGACAGAGCGATTGCTTTTTGACTACTGTTTCCTGATTCCGGCACAAAACAATGATCAAACCTTTCGCGTTCCAGTTGTTCTTCCTGCTGCTTTTTTAGCTTTTCCCGCTCTTCGTCCTCAGCCTGGGCTTTTGCGATGCATTTCTTCCGCATGCGTTCTCTGCGCTGCACGTGCGAGTCGCTGAGGTGCTTCTGCTTGTCGAAGGTGACACAAATGTTGATGGCCTGGGTTTTGTCCACGAACTTTCGGACCAACTTAGTGCCCCTAAACTCATCCATGGCACGCACAAAGCTGGAATACTCCTCAAACTGTACATATCTGTAACGCCAACGATAATGATTTGATTACTAAAAACCGAAGAATACAAAAGGTAAATCCAAACTCACGCTTCAAAGAGGACATCCTGCTCGAAACTGAAAGTGCGCATGCCGTTGATATCCGCCTGCATGCTCTTTCGGTACGGGTCACAGATTGGTATGTCCACCATTCGGACGCGGCCGTACTTCTCGAAGATTCGCTTGAAGATGCTCTCGCTGGGCTTGACGTGCTCCTCATGCTCCGAGTGCCGCGGACAAAACCAACGCATGGGCAGGTGACTCAGATGAATGGTGTCCGGCCTTTCGCCCGCCTTCATTTCGTCCATGTTGCGGGCATCCCGGAAGTAGGAGTCCCAGTCGTGTCGCGTGGGGAAGTCATCCTTGTGCTCTGTGCAGCGCACTCGGAACGACTCACTGAAGCCAGATATGCGTAGGGAAATGCCGTCCAGGCGTTGGATGGCTGTCCGCAGACGCTTGCGCTCATCGAGCTCGGCTTCCAAACGGATTGTGTTCACTGTGCTCTTGGATACCTAATGGGGAATACGTAATATTTTTGAATCAAGTAATTTAACTGGAATTTTTCTAGGACCTAAGCAATAATTTATCAAGTTTAAACTCACTTTGAGCAGCAGAAACTTGTCCGGCTTTAGCTCGACGCCCAGTTTGTCCATTATCTCCAGGTTGGATACAGATTTTCCGGTCTTGATCGGCGGCAGTGATACGGAGATTTGCATTTTGGCCAGCGGCTTGAGGTACAAGCTGTGCGGCAGGTAGAGAGGCGTGCAGTCTGCCACATTTTCTATGCTCTGGATGTTGGTCATTTGGAAAAGGGGTTTGTTTTGTTCGGTTTTCGATTCGACACAGTACAATGTAATGAGGCAGAATACAGAAAGTAATTTTTGTGTTTCCTTTACCAGGCAATCAAACTAAACCTAGAGCTACAAACTACGGTGTGATCTAAATGAACGCCCAAGAAAATGCAAAAGGAAAATGCCGCCTTGCGTGTGTGTTTCATGAGTGTGTGTTGGTAAGTGTGTCTGAAGGAGGGGAAATTCTGTTTAATGGGCGCCCGAATCTGTTGTTGGGCTATTCGGGCCACCTGAGCCTTCGCTCCCCGCTAATGCTACTTAAGTATAATAAATTCTGTGACTTTTTCTGAGTGGACGCAGGTCTATTTGCTAAAAAGAAGAATTTTTCGGATTATTTTTTTGCACTTTTCACTAGAGATGTCAAACTTCCGATAGATACGAAACGCAAAGAGGGATGGACCAATAACAGGTTTTAACTTGGTAGTTAGGGATATTCAGTTCACGGAGGTGAACTAGTCACACTCTATTGGCTTTATACAAATGGGTAACTGCTAAGTTGCTGAATTTTTGAAAATTCTACAGAAAATTTCAGCAATTAATGGAACGAACCTAAATGATTCATGTTGAATTTTCAAACAGCTGTTTATGCTGTCAAATTTTACGGTACCTAAATCATTTAAATTGTATTTTTTATTGCTAGTTACTATATAAAGTTATTAATAAAGAGAGAAGAACACAAATGTACTTTCTATATTGATTTTAAGGTAAAAAGTGCTTGCTGGGTATACTAAAATGTTATAGAGTTGCAATAACTTTTAATAAAATAAGGTGATAATTTTGGTTTTGAACGATTCAGCAATAAATTCAACAGCCCAGGGGTCTTGAATTCTGAAATTACTGAAGGTTGACTTTGTATGGAACAGCTGATTAACAGCTGACCCAAATTCAACAGTTTAGGAAACCCCATATGTGTCATTTTAATCATAAACGGTATTTGCACAGTTGTTAAAAATAATTAATTCCTGTTATTATCGCATGAGTAAATTAAACAAATATGTGCTAGTGGAGTTTGCCTATGAAAATCACAGATTGCAGCTATTCAGTAGCTTCTCCGCTCTAGTTTCGTTATCGATATCGACTTGAAAATCTGTTGTCATTCTCACATCGCGAGGCATAAGCAAAGACAAAAAAGTGAGAACGAAGTGCGTTATTTCATTTTTATACAACTTAATTTAATTAGAAATCTAAGCAAAGCAACAATATGCGCGAGTGAAATTGTGCCACTCCAAAAAACCAAAAGGCTCCCGTGCCCGCATCGTGTAAATGGCAAAAAACTGACGCGAAAAGTAAAACTGCCAACAACAACAAGCAGCAGAAAACAGAAAGCATAAGCAAGCAGCACCAACAACAACACCCACAGCAGCAGCAACAACAACGCAATTGTGATAGACAAAGAAATAGATTAAGGCAAACAGCGAAAGAGAACAGGAGGAAGGGAAAATCGAAACGAAAACAGCCCGAATAATTAATTTGGAAAATATTTCTTTGCTCGAACATATTGATGGACACTGAGACTAAGAAACTCGAGTAAATGCTTTTACACACTGGCACATTTGATACGCAACGAAAATAGCTTTTAAAGTAATAAGTAATAAGCAGGCGGAAGAAGAAGCATAGCCATACAAAATAAATAAGAAGAACGTGGAAGGCGAGAAGGAAAATAAAACAACACTGGCGTTAAAAGAGAGGGAGCAGCAGGCGAGCGAAAATAAAGAGGAAGAGCTATTATTTTGCTGTTGTTGTTGCTGTTGCAAATAAAAACACAAGTCACACAAACACTCAGATACAGATACAGCCACAGCTGATGTAAAATAATTTGCAGCGCCTGTGTGTTCGTGCCCGTTTACAATTGATTAAAACCAAAACACACGAACACGCCGCGCTCACACTCTCGCAAACAGACAACAATAACACTTGCACACTGGCCCACCATTGTGAAAATTGATTAAAGATTATAAGGTGAGTGTGAGTGGGGCATGGTTTTAGTTTTAATTAACCGTTAGTTATAGTTTTATGCGCACCAATACTAGTGCACCTGTCGACGCCCTTTTAACTGCATCAATTCGACCCGTTCCCTCGCCCAACCCCCTCTCGCCATTCCACCAAATGCAACTACACCTGCTGCCATTTTCTTTTTTTCGAACGTCAGCAACCCTCGCGCATTGTAGTTGTGTGCGTCCGTTTGAGCCAAATTGCAATTAATTGCCATAATTTACATATTTTACAAGAATAACTCGGTGTCTGTGTGCATTTGTTCGTCATTCGAGAGCTTTTTCCTGTTAACTGCACCCGAATGAGTGCAAAGGAAAAGGCAATACAACAAAACAACAGCTGAGTGAGAGGGAGATGTGGCGAGGGCCGAAGAAGCGGAGGAAAGGGAGGCAGAGAATGCAGTTCGGCTCGGATTATCGAATATCGATAAATTGCATTTGACCAGCTGATCATGTGTTTTCAGTTGAGTTTTACAATTGTTCTTGTTTACGTTCTTGCGCTTTGTTTTAGCCGTTTGGCTCAACTTGTTTACTGCAGTTGGAGTTTTTGTGTGAGTCATGCACTTTAAACCACTTATGAAGTTCACATACAAACGTTCATACATACATATGTACATATAACAAAAAAAGAGTACAGGGCACAAACAAGAATGCCGTTTACCATTAATTGCAGTTAGTTGCCCCCTGGCAGCCGCTCTTTATCGCTCTCCCTGCGAGAAAGTGCTTTTTCCTGCCCCCCACAACGACAAAAGAAGAGATAGCTGATAAACTCTGACTGCGCTGCCACCGACGCTCTGTAATCAGTTTGCAGCGGCAGAGGAGTTCAGTTTCAGTTCACTTGGTTTGGTTCAGGGTTTTTAGCTTCTCGTCTTTCTCCTTCACCACCTAGACTCATCCCCTGACCATAGATCTGCTAATTTCGATTCTTTATTTGTGCAGTACAACCCCTTGAAAAAGTAATAGTACAGTAACTGGTTCAAGGGTCTACATATGTATGTATATTTGACTTTATTTACTCACAGAATTTTAGACTGATTTAGTCTTTAAAATTTTAATGATGTAAATGATGTAAAATAACTGTATTTAAACATTTTTATTTATTAGGTAACATTAGGTATTATTTGGTAATTTATACCAGGGAACGAAAATAACTGTTATTGTAAATTTTTCATACAAAAAAATCACGCACTTAGAAGGGTCCTAAAAATTTTTTAAATACACCACAATTTTTATTAGCCATTGTAGTTTACAAATCCGTAATGATTTTTATTTTTTGATTTTTATAATAAAACTCAAAAAATAACTGTTATTTTTTGATTTTTATGAATAACAGTTATTCTATAACAGTTATCCTTGACATTTTTGAAAAAATGAAATAATTAAAAAAACATGATACCCGTGCTTTTTATAACTTACTAAAAATTTGTTAAAAAAGGCAACCGCGCATATTTTATACCTATATTTTTTTAAAATTTTGTTTACCCACAAAATCGCCATAAATCAGGTTTGAGTTTTATTTTTGATCACGAAGAATAACTGTTATTTGTCAACTTTTATTATAAAACTCAAAAAATAACAGTTATTCTTTGAGTTTTACTTTACAAATCAGAAAATAACTGTTAAAGTGTGATTTTTAAAATAAAACTTATAACAGTTACGTTCCCTGATTTATACCCGTTACTCGTAAAGTAAAAAGGTTATTGTAATCGTTGAAAAGTATGTAGAAGGAAGAGTTTCCGATCCCATAAAGTATGTATATTCTTCACTATGATTACTAGCCGAGTCCATCTATCCATGCCCGTCTGTCCGTGTGAGCGCTAGGATCCCGAAAACTACAAGAGCCAGAGAGTTAGGACTTTGTCTGAATACCACTTTTAAAAATATTTTTATTAAAACCTTTGTAGTTGAATACAATACAAAATTGTTTTTACAAAAACATTCATATTTTTATTAACATTTGTATCATAGACTTAATTTTCGTAGGCTTTTTAAAAGAAGTCAGTACTAGGCTTTAAAAGTAGAACATTTTACAAAAACTCAAATGTTATATCATAACAAGTGCATATTGTACATATTTATGTTCAAATTGTAGCTCAAATATTTCCAAGTGTCACATTCTTTCTATTTCTCCAATTTACACCCTGATTGAAATTATTTCCTGATGTCCAGCACGACCAGTTTTTTGATTACTCAGGTGTTTTTGGAACAAATCTCCAATAGTGTATTCTGAATTTTCTCTTGAAACACCCTTGAGTTCGATCATCTTAAATTTTTCTAATACATCTATTTGTATGTTTATAAACATTTTGAAATGTTTCCAAATGTATTTTGATAACATTTAAAATATCTCAATATACATACCAATTCATCCGTTCAATTTTAATTCGATGACTAATATTCATTAAAGACCAATTCTTTAACACAATAAGTTAAGTATTTCTACATACTTATGTACATAAATAGGATTATGTTAATCAGGTATTCCGATTTTTGGAAATCCCTGTTACATAGATACTGCTCACCACCCTTCTGATAAGATCTTATCAGTTTGCGGCTCGATAGCTATCATGATTCTATTGAGGTTGGGGGGTGCCTTCTGGCATGTCATCGGTGATTAATCAGCCGGTTATTGCTTTCTGTCTATCAGTTTAAACAGCTATTTCATCAATTTGCTTAAAGAGTACCTGGCATTTTCCCTAGGTATTACAGATGCTCCTGAGTTAATCGTTCCTGGTATTTCGTCAGCTATAAAAACGGTGCACCGTTACACGTGTCCGCTAAATGTGGAAAATTTTGAGAAAACCATTGGTAATATCCCGCGTCTTGGAAATTTACAAGTTAAGCCAACGAAATGATGAAATTCGCTTAGGTAAAAAAAAGGACCGCAAAATCAGGTAAACGCTGGTGCGTCGGCGTCGGCGTTGGCATTGACACATGCGCAGCAGAAGCTGTTTCTCTCTAATTCCCTCTCTCTCTCTCTCACTTACATGCTGCGAGGCAGTACTGCCTTCTCCAGCTTCCAAAATATACCTACCTAGCAAATTCTGATCTTAACTAATAAGTTAACTAAACTAACTAATAATATTTGAACTCGTTATCATTGAAGTAATGACAATTTTGCCCAAATTAACTTGTTACATAATTCCTTTATTCATTTATTTGTTTTGATGACCAACATGCTTTTGAGTAAGATCCCTAGTCAAAAAATATTGTTAATAAAAGTTAAAGATAATTTTAGATTGCATTTTCTCCCAATTACATTTCGAAGTTTTGACTTTATTACCTACTTTTGAAGTGTTTGATTATATATTGGGAAAATTAGCTATAACAGGCAACCCTGATCTGTCTACGAAATAGCTGAGACAACCGCACTGTAAGTAGGTGCGATCGCCACACGTGCGGAGCTCTCTCGCCCTCTCAAAGTTTCTCTTCGCCTCTCGCCGTTCGCTCCGCTCTGCTCATTTGTTTTCGAGCCACCCGCTAGTCTAGACGTGTTCAAATCAAGGTGCGTTGATAACACGTTCCACGCTGTTGTTGTTCTGGTTGCTGCTGTTTACGGCTCGCAAAATAAATAGTGTGGGGAAAAGTGAGTGCGCGTGTTCTAAGTGCGGAGCCAGAGCCACGCTCTTTCCGCTTTTCCGTTTTCCCTGTTATGCGCCTTATCGCCAAAAGCCGTCTGCGAGACTAAACACTAAACAAAATTATAAAAATAAAATTGAATAAGCGTCTGTGCACATGCTCGCCCTGCTATTTTTTATTGCGACTCGGAAATGGCCCAGTTAGTCATTAACATTTGAACCGCCCCCACGCTACGCCTCCCTTTGTCCCTCTGACGACACAAAGAGAGCAAACAGCAACTGCGACAGTCTGTCTAACAGCTGTTGAAGAGCGGCGGTGATCCAATCAATCGCTCAATGGCTCAAAAATAGCTAAGCTAATCTCTGCGGTGGTTTACTGGTGGAATCACTATTTTTAAAAGATTCATTGCGTTTGATTTTTTAAATCTCAAACAATTAAATCAGTGCTTACTGCTGGTCCAATCGCCTTAACAACTAGTGACCCTATTTACCTGTATTCAAATGTTAAATCTCTGTTAATTTGGTAAAACATTTTTTATTCTTTTGATTTTAGGTAGTAAATAGATTAAGTCATTTAAATAAACAAAAAATAGTCACAAGAAATGATTGATTTGAGTTAAATGATCACTACATTTAAATAAGTTTTATGCGCATCTCAGATAGCTCACCCATTCTCTTTGTCTCTTTTGTTTTGAATCTTACAGCTTAACACTCACAAAACAAACACGGGTACAAGGCGAATATAAGTACAAGCACACGAACTGATGAGGGAACACCACAAAATCTTCTGAAGCACTGCCAAACCATAAGCGAGACGAGAGGAACAGAAGGCGGAGGAGGCGGAGTGGGCGTGGGAGAGGGAGGAGCGGGAGTATCCCCTCCAGGTAGCCAAGTCCAGGACACACAGGGAGCACCAACGGATCCATGATGCTGTACGTGTTCCACGTGGACGTCGGCCGCATGCTGAGCTTTGACATGAACGTTGCTTTGCAATCGGTGGAGCACCTAAAGGAAACGATCCAGAAGTTGCACAACATCCCGGCCGCCAACATTGTGCTGTTGGTCAGCGGAGGCGAAATGCTAACGCACTCAACCCAGGTGTCGTGCTACTCTGCTGGCACAGACACCAATCCCATTTACATGTTCCTCACGGGGGAAGAGCGCCCGGCGCCCACGATATCCAACTCAGACGCCGACGCGGAGCTCCGTCGCCAGGTGGAGGAGAGCCATCGCCTGCCACCGGTCCTGGAGACGGTGCGTCAACGCGCCCAGTTGGCGCAGCACATGCGGGAGCTGGCCAGGAAGGAGGAGGATCTGTGCGAGAGACTGGTTCATGAGCAACACCTCCAGCAGCAGGGTTGGTCGGCGGTTGTGGCCAATATGGAGGATCTGACGAACGAGTTTCGCGAGCGCTTCCACAATTTCTGCTCCTCCTTTGACCGGCATCTCCAGAAGCGTGAGAGCTATTTGGAGCTGTTGCGCAACTTTGCCGATGATCTCAAACAGCTGGGCAGGATTCCCATACTGCCGGCCCTAATGTCTCTGGCCGAGGCCGATTTTCACGGCTTTGACGAACTGTTGGAGAACGACGACGTGTTTGCGGCCCAGCAACAACCGGTGCAGCAGCAGCAAGGTCTCACTGAATCCTCACAGGCGGACTCTCCCAACAAGAAGCTCAAAATGGGCGAGGAGGCGGAAACTGACTCTGGCGACCAGCAGGAGCGAGTTTCCCAGACCTCGACCAGCAGTAGTTCGCTGGCCCGTCGCCACAACCTCAACCTGCTGCAGTGGATCAGCTCCAAAGGTAACCACAGTGCCCTGCAACTCATGTCAGACGAATGCATACAGGGACTGGACATCTTCAGTGCGGACATCTACGACAAGCTAAAGGAGGAGGTGAAACAGATCATTAAGATGGCCAACCAGGGCGACGTAAAGGAGATCAAGGGACTCGGTGACCGTCTCTGCAAGCTGGAGGAGTTTAAGTTCCGGATTAAGAAAATGGTGCAGGAGCAAAAAGAGCAGGCCCTCGCCCTGCAGCAGAACGAGGCGCGGGCGCAGAATCTGCGCGACAACTCCGTCCTGCCGGACCTCTGTCTCTCCCATCGTTCCCAGCTACAGGTGATGCTGGAAAATCACACCAAGATACGGGAATACTGCCGCTGCATAGCCAACTCCAAGGACGAGCTGGGGAGGAATTTGCACACACGTCTGCGCCGGATCGTGTGGATCGAGAATGGGATGAGTGAATTTGACAATCGGTTGCTGTTTAATCATCGCTGCTTGCGGCGTGCCGAGCGTCACATCAGCATCATCGAACAGATCCACCGAGCTCCGAGCACTTATGTGGCCGCCGTTGCGGAGGTGGTGCGCAGGAAGATCCTTTCAGATGAGTTTCGGCAGTGGGCCACCCGACTCTCTGTGGACTTCGATCGCATACACAGCGAGGAGTTGCGCCGAAGGAGGGAGTTCAATGCCAGTTTCGAAGGTCATTTTCTGAATATTCTCTTTCCTGGCATGGCTGACATGCCGCCAGCGTTCGCCAATGAGCACCCATTGAGCTTTGACACGCGTCTCCCTCCTCTGAGTCGATCGGACATGGAACTGCTCTCCTCTCAGCTGCCGGAACTTGCCGGACAACTGCAACTGCCCGACATGAAGCCAGTGATAGACTTCTTCGTCCTCCGGTCGGGCAAAAATGGGGAGCAGGAGCAGGAGCAGGATACCCCACTTTTGGCTCCCCGCTTGGCCGAACTGCAGGGGCAGACTGGTACCTCCGATTGCGAAACGGATACGGAAACCGAGTTTGAGAAGCTTAGCACCACGACCAGGTGTGTTGCTACTTCAACCTCTGCCACGTTGGTGGAGCAAATAGCCCGGAGCACTGCCACCGAGGATCTGCTCATGCTCAGTGCTGGCACCCTGACGGAAGAGAACGCTGGTAGCATCCAGAGGATGCGTAGCGACATGGAAAACATGTCCAAGTTGGCCCAAGCCTGCCTGGCCGAAGCTCGCTCTAATTTGGGCATCTTTCGCAGTGATGCCGCCAATTACCAGGACGAGCTCCAGTCCGAGCTACATCTCCTGGCGGATAAGTGCAATGTGTTGAGGATGCAGTTCGAGGCACGCGAACAGAAATCACAAGAGCAGCTGGAGGAGATGCGCTTGAAACTGCAATTGGCCGAGCAAGAGAAGCAGACTGCGGTGGCTCAGGCCCGGGAGCAGCTCATCCACGAGCACAAAACCGAGCTCGAGTCCCTTCGTTGTCGCTTCAAACTGATGACTTCAATGGAGCGCTCGCCCTCGGACAGCAGTCTTGAAAAACTAGAGCGGCCGACGAGCAGTGCCAGCGTGGCCAGCGCAAACGCCGGCGTGGATATTGACCAGCTACTGGCCCAGCAGCGCCAGGAACTACTGGCCCAAAGGGAACGTGCCATCAGCGAGGCCGTTGATTCGGAGCGCTCGCTGTGGCAGTCACGCCTCCTGCCCCTTAACTCTGAATCTGTGATGGCCAACGTGGGCATACTAAAGGACATGCTGGCCGACAAGGAGCGACAACTGGATCAGCTGCGAGAGCAGAACAAGATCCTCACCCAGGAGTCATACCAGCTGAAGACCCGACTGGAGATGATCACCAACGAGGATGGTAATAGTTGGCTCAAGGAGAAGATTGACTACCTGAACAAGGACAAATGCCGCCTGGAAGAGGAGCTCAGCCAGGAGAAGAGCCGGCGCCAGGAGATGGAGACCAGTGTGGCAGCCATGAGAAGGTAAGGAGTGCTGAAACATAGCTAGATAATTTTTTCAAGTTATTTTCTAACTTTCTTTTACTTGCTTTGCTTACAAAAAGCTAAAGATACTATTTATATACTATTCATTAATATTATCCTGGAAGGACAAGTTAAAACGTATAATTTTAGAGCCTTTGTCATAATATTACTTTAAACACCTTTTTTTTTACATTTTTGCTTTCGCATTCCGGTTAGACGAATGCTAACACATAGCTTTTCCGTCCATAGCTCTGTCTACGATCTGAATGTGGGTGGGCCCATAACCCGTTCCAAGTCCGGCGTCAGTTCCGGTCACCGATCGATTGCCTTGGAGGGATGTTCTCGAGGTGATCTCGTTTTCGTGGTTTGGAGCATGCGTCATGCGCAATTTATGGTCGTCCAGGACTCGCTCACCCTGTACTTTGTCCACGCCGACAGTCTCGCTGGCCTGCAGCTGACGGCTCCGGCTGCACCGACTCCGGCATTGGAACCCTCGCTGGCAGTTGCGGAACTTAACCAGATCCCGCTCCCCTACTACGCCATAGGCCGGGTCATCGACAAGGAGTATTGTCAGGCGCGAAAGGTGAGTGCTTGCTTATAGTTCACCTTGCAAGAGTTTTTACCATTGTGGCTTCTTTGCAGGATGACAATCGTTATCGCGTCAGCAGGGGCTCCAAGTTCTATCGCATCAAGCTGGCCCCGTTGCCCTCTCGGAACGCTTCTCGGCGGGAGCGCCTAGAGTGTAAGTAGGAGTGGAAGCAGAAAATTTCATCATAGTTCGATTATCTGTGTTTTCTCAAAACTATTAAGAATATTTGTACATTCAAAACATGAGCGAGTTTCTTAATATTTCTGTTCTATAATATTACTATATTTATTTGTAGACTTTTGGGTTAGGAGTTTTTTGTGCCACAATTATTATAATATATTGTTACTGAAAAAATATTGTATTCTTCGAAGAGTATGTAACTCGTGAAGGAAGCGTTTCCGACCCTATAAAGTATATATCTTGATCAGCATCACCAGACGAATTGATCTAGCCATGTCCGTCTGTCTGTATGAACGCTAAGATTTTGGAAACTATTAAAGCTAGAAGATTAGGAATAAACAAACAGATTCTTGGGGCGTGTTGGTTTGGTCAGGGTGCCACGCCCGCAAACCGGAAAAGTTTGTCTCGCTCACATTTTCAAAGATTTTTTTGCAGTATATATTGTATGTTATTTGATTTGTCAACAGCTTTGGTATTCCAATAAAAAAATGTTCTAATCGGACCGTTCATAAAAAACGAAAGTTTCAAAAATTTGAATCTGTTATTTCGATGATTAGATTTTTAAGCGCAAGCGACGTTAGTACGATTTACAGGTGAAAAAAACCATCTTCCAAGACTTCTGTAAGGTCTCGATTAGCACAAAGATATATAAAAAAAACCAAGACTTTCGCACGCGACACCAATAGAAGTGACTTTTTTGACTACCCGCTCAACTTTCGATTGTACCGAAATATATTAATGCAGTTAATTTTATAGTGATCCTTATTCATTCTTCTTAAAAGTGTTATTTTTTCTTTTATGTGCATTGAATTGACTGTCACACGCTACATGTCGCACGCGACAGTTTTTTCAGTCGTTTTCTTAGGTGGTTTTCCTTTAAGAGCAACTTTTACCTTTTTGTCCATATTATTGGTATTGTCCTGAAAAATTATCCAAGGATACTCAAATTACTTAGTTTAGTTGAGGACCCATCTAACTAGAATGAAATATCATCCTCAGAGAATTGCCCGTATAAATTTTACCAGTGTATATTGCCCTTGCAGAGGGTATTATAATTTTGGTCAGAAGTTTGAACCGCAGTCAAGGAGACGTTTCCGACCCCATAAAATATATATATTCTTGATCAGGATCAATAGGGGAGTCGAAATAGCCGTGTCCGTCTGTTTCAATACCGTTTACGATCTCAGTTTAAAAGCTAGCGACTTAAAACTTTTACAGTCATCCTAAAACCCGTGTACGCAGATCAAGTTTGGAAATCGACCCAAACGGACGTCTATATCGTATAGCTCCCATAGGAATAATCGGATATAACTTGCAAAATTTTTCGAGCAGTGTAAAAGTTATTGACATGAAACTTTCCAAATCGTATTTTTTTGTGCATACCTTAATCAGGGTAAAAGCGCGTACCGATCGGACGTCTATATCCTATAGCTCCTATAGGAACAATAGGGTGACAAAATTAAAAATTTTATTTTTTGAATTAGGAAATATTTTGTTTATTAATTCATGCTGCTATTGTAGTCAAATTTTAATTCGCGAAATCTGCAAGGGTATTAAAACTTCGGCTTGCCGAAGTGAGCTTCCGTACCCTCATTTTTTTTATATTTTTACATATGCATATGTACTTTCACTACATACTTGTGGGCGTGTGAGGAGTCGTGGTTACATACTTTTCCCCGAATACAATATACCAATTTTACTCTACGAGTAACGGGTATAAAAAAAGAAAATCCGAAATAAAACATGTAGGAAAAGATAGTTATTTCATTCAATTATCTTGTCGCTAAACAAATTAATTTAGAAAACATCTTACAGCGAAAGGACGGCGGAGTTTTTAAAACTCAAAAATCTATCTTTCAACGACAAGATAATGATATTTTTGATAGTCAAAGGTACTTAGCTAAAGAATCCAACATCTTTGTTTCCAAAGGTCCGATCAGTATAATTTTTCGAGCTGGTATTCTTAGAACTATATACTAAAATATAAATCAATGCAAAATATCGATTTTTTTAGCAGGTCCATTTCAACAAAAAATTCAAAGTATTTTGCTCGGGATAAGGCAAATAAATAAATTAAATTAAATTAAATTATACTCAGAAACTGTTGATTTCCAAAAACTTACTAATTTATTACTCACAAAGGCCAAGACAATACTAGTCAGTAAAAGCCGTCTAATGATTATAATTTTTCATATTGCGATAAAGTTTTTTAACTGAAATGTTAATTCAACCATTTAAACAAAAAACTAAAAGAGTCATGGAGAGCAATGAAGAATGTTTAAAAAATAACTTACATTTCTCTTTTTAGCCAGCTCATCCGCAGCCGCTGCATCGCCAAGAGATGTCATCGATGCTCCCACCAGCAACAGCAGCGTCTACCAAAGCTTCAAGCAGCGCACGGTGAGCATTACGAGCGTGAATGAGGAGGATGACGAGTCGGCGTCACTGCTCAGTGAGCGTTGTCGCTACATAAGCGTCAGCGAGGAGGATGAGTTGCACGCTGCTGGCGGCTCAGTGTCGGCAATAACAGCTGCTGTAGCAACAGCCACATCGACTGTGTCAGCACCAACAACTACAACTACTGCAACAGCGGTAGCGGGACCGACGACAACTGCAGCGACGGCAGCAACTCAAGCACAGTCTGTGATAACAGAGCAGCCAACGGCATCAAGCAAACTTAAATTGGATCTACTGTTGGCCTCTGCTGATATAATAACACAACCCTTAACACAATTACCACATCAACAGCGACAGGAACAAAAACAAAAACAACACGTTGAGGAAACAAGTCCAAATCAAACAATCCAACCGGAGAATCCGGAACAGGAAACCATCACCATCTATGTGCCCCCCAATCCCCCGGCACCATCAACTGCAACAAATACTACAAGTGCTAGCATCCTGGGCCCCATTATTGCGGAGCCGATTATCAGCACAGCCGCCATGCTACCAATGTCCATTGGTACGGCGGCCATAAGCGAGGACTCCGACGAGTACCGATCCCTGGAGGGCAAGGATGGCGATGCCGATGATTTTCCCATTTCCGAGTAGTGTGCGACAATTAGGAGTAACATATAACTACTTATATACATAAATGGAGTGTGTATCTAGGCTAAATCTTTTACTCTATTTAGGAACCACAGCATACAAACAAAAATACCCCCTAAAAATAAGCCACAGGGCCGACACCGACACAACACAGCAAACACCAACAAACCAACCACAACAACAGCAACGTGAAAGTTATATACTTAACTAATTTAAAGTTTACCAAGTGCAGAATATATATTGAAAAAAACGGAAAACAATTGTTCTAATGTAGTCTACGTCTACATAATGATATAATCTTATCCAATTTGAATTCGGGCCTTACCCGTACAAACACAATCACACCGAGACACAAACACAAGCTAGGATTTTCAAATTTTTATTTAAAATAAAAATAATGTACTTTAACAAATTTATCATATAATCAAAATATATACATTGGTAGTTTTCGGTTTAAATTTATAATTTCCTTCATTTAGTGCCAAGAAAAATTTTTCCAATTCACATTAGTTTCGTAGTAAGTAAAATTGAAATGAGGAAAACAAAATTATATTTTTTATAGGCATTTTTAAAAGACTAGAACACAAAGAGTTTGCACACATACCCACCCTCACACAAATACACAAAGAAACACAATCTTTTAGGCTCAGCCTGCAAAAAAACACAGTTTTATGCTCAGCTTACACCACTCTCTTCCCCCGCCTTCCCCAAAAAACAAACTTTCTACTCTCTCTCCCTCTTTATATCTAAAATATTTTGATTTTTCGACTTTATGTAAATAAATAAGAACGGAAATCGACGAATAGTTATTTATGCCTTTATTAATAACAAGGAAACACTTGAAAATTACAACAAAATAGATATATACACATTTATTGATTTATGCGTTATAAAGCATTAATTTTTTAACGCAAAGTGTAAATAAGAAAAAAAAAACAATAATATTAAAAAATACTTTAAACAATTTAAATGAGGAATCGTGGAAACGACGGTGTAACAAAAGCGGATCGCAAAATTGTCAAGCTTACAAAAAAAGTGTAAAATCAAAAATCAAATAAAAAATGGTAAACATTTCAAAACTATAAATGCTGTTTTTCTTATGTTATAGTAAGTGTAATTATAAAAATCAGTCAACGAAATCAATCAATATAGGTATTACCGGTTTTACAATTGTTTGATTTCCAAAAATTTTTTACAAAAAGGTTTATTCGATGTATCTCAATTTCAAGACTGATATTTAGTCAGAATTGTAAAATTGTCTAATTATTAACTAGTTTCAACTGAGAAGATTAAAGAAAAACCAAAACACTTCAATTAAAATACAAAAATAATTTATTAGGGGAATATTTTAATGAGTCATTACAATTATAAATACAATATTAATAGGCTTAGGATTATTTATTCATACTCTCATATTCGGCTTACATAAACGTGGTCTTTATATTGCATAGAATGTGAACATTGGTCTACATAGAATCGCGTCAAATTGCGCTTTTACATGACTTGCAATTAGTTAATAAATGTATAAGCTGAATATTTAATTGCACATTTGGCCAAAGCAAATTGGCGAAGGGATTTCACATGGATATCTGGGCTGGGTTAGCGTGATAAATAGCCTTTTAATTGTGCTTTGTTAGGCAAGCTTATACCCATGCTAACGTGTCTATATACATATCCGATATAAAAGCAAAGCTGCTTCAGTCTCCGTTATAGAAAAGCGGGCATAATACAAAATTTAATTTCATATCTATAACTAATTGGGGCAATTTTTTGAGAAACTGCCAGTGCTTGTGCATATTGTCTGTGGTTTTGAGAACTCATCTACCCTTGCAGATCGGGTGCTAGGCTTGTGAAGCTAAGTAAGTATATGATCTATATTTTATGTATACTTATATTTGAAGCATGAGTATTCTGTTGACAGTCGAAATAATAAAAATTGATAAACAAAAAGTTGGGTTAAAAATAACATTATTTTCTTTTCCTCCTCTACCTTTTTTCGTAGTTTATAGGTTTTTATACCCGTTACTCGTAGAGTAAAAGGGTATATTGTATTCGTGCAAAAGTATGTAACAGGTAGAAGGAAGCGTTTCCGACCCCATAAAGTATATATATTCTTGATCAGGATCACTAGCCGAGTCGATCTAGCCATGTCCGTCTGTCCGTCTGTCCGTCTGTCTGTCTGTCTGTCTGTCTGTCCGTCTGTCCGTATGAACGCTGAGATCTCGGAAACTATAGAAGCTAGAAGATTGGCATTTTGCATGCAGATTCTAGGAATTCCTACGCAGCGCAAGTTTGTTTCAAAATGGTGCCACGCCCCCTCTAACGCCCACCATCGCTTATATACGATTTTAAAAATTTTAATATTTTGGAAAAGTAAAAATGCAGTTTTATTGTGTTTATCAATACCTATCGAAATGTAGAAGAAATTTTTCAAATCGGACCATTCGTTAAAAAGTTATGCGTGATCAACGTTTTCTATCTCTATCTCCATCTCCCTCGCACTCCCTTTACCTGAGTAACGGGTATCTGATAGTCGGGGCATCCGACTATAACGTTCCCTCTTGTTTTAAATTAAGCTTGTTCAAGGGAGGGTGTAAATCAAGCAGTATAACTTTAAGATGCTTTAACAATTACAAATCGGAAATGGAAATCAAACAAAGCCTTTATGTGGAAACCACAAGAGTATACAAACTTCGGAACCGGCCCGCAAAATAAAGTTTTGAAAACTTTATTAAAGATAAAGTTTGGAAAGGAAAAGCGTTTGATCAAATGAAATTTATGGGTTTTGGTCTAGTTTGGATAAAAAAATATGTTCCTCTGCAAGGGTATCTCCTCTTCGGAGTTTGCTCCGAAGATTCACTTTGCTGCCTCCGATTATCTCTGCTGTTCCGTAGGCATGTCTGAACCACATCACGCGGAGTCTGTGCACGACTAGTGAATGGCTGTGGTTGCATCCAACGGTTGGCTGGCCACCCGACTACGACTTCATTAGACTCCAAAATAATTGAGCGTTAAATATGCTCCAGTTATTAATTGCCGGCCGAGTCGCCCCTGCCATCCATCCAGCTAATCCGACAACTCCTCACAATATTCCACACTTCTTGAGCACTATTTTGCGCTTCCGGGCCACGCTGGAGCCATGGCCCTTCTTCGCCGGACGGAGGACGATGGTGCCACTGCTGGACTTGGTGAAGGTCGGACTGAAGGCGCTGATCGTGGGCGTGCTGCTGTAGGGCGGATGGCTGGAGTTTTGCTGGTTTCCGGCGGTCTGGTCGTAGCTCTGGGTCATCAGCTGATGGCACTTGGTGGCCAAGTAGCGGAACACGGACGCTACATTGATGTCCTCCTTGACGGATGTGCGGATGAGCCGACAGTTCAGCAGCTTGGCCAGCGTCTCCACCTCGTCGGCGGTGACCACAGCCTGTTCGATTAGGTCAATCTTGTTCTGCACGATCACCGTGGGTATTTCGTTGCACTCGTTCTCCACCTTGCGCTTCCAATCCTTGATTGCGTCAAAGGAGGCCCGATCTGTCGTCGAGAAAACCAGGACGGAGGCCTGAGCGCCCCGGTAGTAGGCCTTTGTGATGCAGTCAAACTCCTCCTGGCCGGCGGTGTCCCACAGCATGATGCGCACATCCTCGCCGTCGATCTCGATCTGCCGTTCCAGGAAGTCAACGCCAATCGTCTTCTTGTAGTCCTTTGTGAATATTCCCTTGCAATAGCGCTGGATCATCGAGGACTTGCCGACGCCACCATTACCCACAATGACCTGTTAAAAAAATGAGAGCACTTTCATAGTTTTGGACGTGTTTTTGGAAATTAAGGGAGTTAGGGTGTTAGCCACTTTAAATAGCTGTTTTAATAACTTTTAAATTATTGCAGTAATTATTGATAATACTTTTATCTATTCATAATGGAAAGGAGTAGAATTTAAATATAAAACTGCGAGAGAAAGACGAATTTCGTATGTTTATTAACAATAATAATTGTGTTCACCAGAAGGCGAGAAAATTAACTGTTCACAATATTTATTTGCTTTCTATTGGACATTTAAAACGGTTAGCCATTTAAGTTAATTAAGCGGGTAACATTCAATCAAATTTAGCTTGTCCGTCGAGAGACACTTCCAGAGAAGCAAGTGATGTAGAGATCATTTCGAAACAATTCCAGAAACCCATTAGAAACGATCCCGCTCTGAGGGGAAAAAACCCTAATTGAACTAGAATCTTAATCCGTGCAGTTTCGCCATTAGCATTGGCCAATCGGATTTGATCTCACAGGTGCCATTCACAGCACTAGGAGATGGGAATATAGTCAGAAAAAGGTAGTAAGGATTGATAATATTATACATATACATATATATTACTGAGAAAACCTACAATTTATCTCGTTCTAGACATTATAACTATACAAAAATAAACATATACATATGTTTTATCTCTGACTTGATAGCTGGTTTTTTCCAGTGCACTCATTTCAGCCATTCATCATCCGAATGGAAAAGATTTACATTCACTCAGCCGGCTGGGCAACTTACCACTTTAATGGCCAGCTCGATATCATCTTCACGCATGCTGGTGTAGTTGTACTGCGACTGGGAGTGGGTCTGCAGAACGGTCGCAGCAGCACCGCCGGTTGCCGATTGGATTAGACGCATCTAAGCCGGCAGGTGGGCCGCCGCTCGCCCAGGTGTGTGGCTGTGGCTCTGGCTCCAGCTCCAGCTCTCGATTCAGCTCCAGCTCCTGGCCAGGGAAATCGGGTGGAGCACGCGATCTCAAACAGTCGAAGGCAGGTGCGTCCAAATATACTTTTTTGGTCAGCCAAGTTTTCCGCAGCTTTTCACTTTTCCCCTAACTTTGCGTAAGCCTCGATTCACTTTCTACGCATTGATTTCACCAAATTCGAACTGTGGAAAAAAGAAAAATCAGCTCTTCAGCGACATCAGCCTTTGATACATAACAAATTATACAGTCAATCTTCTTTAACTCGAACGAATGTGAGGCGAATAAGGTAATTGAGTAAGAATATTTTAAAACTTTTTGCAGATGTCTTATAAACATTATTTATGACTATTATTTAAAAAATAATAATTTTTTACTTTTTTGGTAGTGAGCATTGTAGACAACTTTTATATTGTTTGTGATATTTGCTGTTGTCTAACAGTTAATTGTTTTGTAATTACAACTATATTGGTAAGAATATTTTTAAAAGTTGTTTTTAAAAAAAAATCGTATTATTTCGACTAATACAAAATTCGAGTTAAGGAAGTTTGACTGTAAATACAAATGGTTTTCTTTCATTTTCACATTAACCGGTTTTCAGCGCTGTTTTTCTCGACTCTCTTGCCTAGGTCTGTTTTTTGTTTGACTTTTTCTTATTTTTTCCTGACTGGCTCCGGGGCCACCGAATGCGGCTTCTAATAAGACGCAACCCGAACGCCCGAACACGCACGGTTACGTTGTTCAACAACAGGTGCTTCCACACACCTTACGCACAGGTAACAGGTGGTGGGCAAAGAAGGGAGGGTTACAGGTGGGAAGACAGGGGCCAGTAGACAGTGGTCACTGGTCAGTGGAAGAGAGATGGAGCATGAATAGCATTAGTATTCGCATTAGCGCGTGCTTATGAATTCTTTGAAAATTGTGCTCTTTCTTCTGGCCTTTCCCCTGTTTACAGTTGCTTTCTTTGGTCCAGTGGGCGGACGGCGTAGCAACGTGGGTTAAGAATAGATCTGGAGTGTTAATATATCTGACCAAACGATGGGAAGACGCTAAACCCACTTGCTTACATTGTGTTGTGAAGATGACTTATTCGATTCGTAGGCAAATTAGATGATTTCCATAGTTCTTAAAATAGACTTTAAGAGCTGCGTCCCAAAAATATTTAAAATGAACTTTACCCTAAAACGTAGAAGGAGGAGGGCTTCTAAAAGTATTCTTTCGAAGTTTCGAAGAATACTGCTCAGACGGTATTTTAACCATCTTGGAAAAACTATTGAATTTAATGCATGTTTTTATGAATGTGTATAGTGTACATTTGTTGGTGGTTACTCCAAAAAATAATGTGAATAATAACTAATTTTGTAAATTAAAAACTATTTGTTATATCAAATTTCATTAAATTAACTAATTTAGATTAACTTATTATTTATACAGTTTTTTAAAGTCAATTGTCTTTCATTCTATACTTTTATTTATAGGTTTTAAAATGTATACAAACAAGCAAAAAAAAATTTTATTTTCAATTTAATCTATGTACCTTGGTTTTTTTTTTTATTATTTTCGTGATTTTCAATTCGTTACAAAAAAAAAATGTTGTTTGAATTGATCAAGTGGATTTGTAAAGCCTTTAATGACCTAAATATTGTGATCTCTCTCCAAGGTTACCTTTTTATCAATTAATTAATTCCCAGCATGGTTTCTTAAGATCTTTGAAAGCTGTCGGCATTCCGCATTAATCGGACAGGTAACACAGGATTTGTGTTTTTCATTTCCTATGGCTTGTAAGTTTGACCCACTGTGCAACCTTTCGTTTGTTCTAATTATGGAGCGACTCTTTTTCCCCAGCTTCTTCTAAAAGGTTCATGTTATTTTGGTTTTTTGTTGTAGTTCATTGTTATGATAATTAAGGCCACCGGTTATAGATTTAGTTCAATAGCCAAGTGTGTACACTTAAAAAAGTTTATTCGAGAGTGGACATTCTGATCTTATGGATTGGGTGATCTAAGGGGAAACAAATCTTTGGTTCAAAACTAGAATTTAAGAAATAAGACTAACCATACAGAAATATTTGCGCTTTCAACTAATTTTAAAATTACTTATGTATGTATTTGACTAAATTCAGAATCAATTACAGTTAAAGATTTTTTTTTTAACATTATGTTGTCGTTAAAAAAACATTTTAAAGTGTATTAAATATTTCGGTAAGATATATGTAGCTTTCTAAACTAAAAAATCCGACTTCTTTGTAGTTTGTTCTCCGTAGGCTAAACAAAAACAACATCAGAGATTGACATACAATCCAGGTAAACTTGTGTGTACAAGAACTGTTTGTTGTTGTTGCAAGTGAAGCACCGCACATCAATTTCCACAGTTGCACTGCAATTATTTTGAAATTTGCCCAAGGAACTAATAGATCGGCGGCCGTTTTCTTGGCCATTGTTGTGGAATGTGGATTCTAACTTGTCCATTTAAGTTCACAGCACCAACACACCTGCGCGGAGCCACATGCACTGGTGCACACACCTACACAATTGCACTTGTTGCTGTTGCAGTGGAAAAGCGGATTTTCCAAGTTTATGGTGCACTGTGTATGGGGAAAATTATGCAAATGCGGAGCGCTACTTAAATCAATTAAGAGCGCGAATTCCTCATTATTTAAATTATGCTTAAACAGTCACTCGCGTACTAACGGTACATCGCACAGTGTCGCCTTCTTCTTCTTTATTTTATCTTTTGCCATATTTTTTCATAGCTCTTTTACGGCCTTTTCTCACTAAACTACAAAATCAAGCCAACCGATTGTGTTTTCTGGGTGAGAAATGAACGAAAAGAAGTTGCGAGTGCGAAAACGCGAAACTCGCATTCGAATCCCAGCTCAAACTCACACAGCCCGAGCTGCAGAAAATCGTAAACACGTTCGCAGCGCCTCTTCTACATGGCCAAAACAACTAAGGCGGCCGAAGCAGCTAAAATGAAGCTGAAACAACGACGACAACGCGTGCGAAGCGCCTTAATTAAAGACGAGCGACGCCTGGGATCCCGATCTCGGAATTGACCCGCAGTGAAAGTCTAGTCACACACACGGTTCATCTATGGTTTTTGCCCCTGGCGATTTCTTAGGGCGCCAAGAGGGAGAAACCCCAAACGTCAACGGGAATCAGAAAGCGCACCTGTAGCTCGTCGCGACCGAAATTTGAATGCCAAACCTGGCTTACGGGCAGTGTGACCGTGGCAAGCAGGTGGGAAAATTCCAAGAGTTCTTCAGGTGGATGGTCACACCCAATTCATAGCTTTAAACGGTCATACTTATACTTTTAAGCACAGGCTGCTTTTCCTAATTTTAAATGTTTTTTTTTTTAATTTTCGCTGCACCTAACTACAATTTTAAGAAATTGTACTTGAAGTAAAAAAATACATTATAGTTTGCAATTACCCTAGAAGGCTATGTCCTTTACTCTTTGCATGCAATTTTATTTATGATTAAACATATCAATTAAATATGATTTATCAACATTTTGAGTACTCGCTGAACTTAAATTTTGAATTAGTAGCGGTTTCTGGCACCTGAATCCATCGCTTTGCAACACTGCTTCGCGGCGAATGTCATTCGCAAAAGAAGAAGCGCCGCGTACATCAGCTGTTCGGCGAATCGGAACGACAAGACGCGCATTTGTTTGACTTTCGACTACGGGGCCAAAATAAATCGCAAATGGAAATGTATTTCAGCAAAAATGAGAAACCATCTGCTAAAAACCGATAGAGGACACAATCACGTTGCCTTTGTTTACAACCCGTTTCGCTGGGAGGCACGCGCGTGCGCAGCAATCGTAATATCGGGCGCCAGGACGAAGGACGAGACATAGAGAAATGCTAGGCCATCGCGAATGTGGAGCCGCGTTAGGAACTCGCCTTTCAGTGCTCAGCGGAATTCGGTGGCATTTCAACGTCTTTTCGGTTGCACAAATCTCCCAAAACAGTATTTATATTTGCAAATCGCTGCCCAACATCCGTGTGTGAGTGATTCGTCGAGTGTGTATGTGTGGCGAGGGTCGGCGAAAAGGTAGTGGAAACCTTATAAAGTAGAAAGTAAAAAGTGCAAAGTTTGTGGAAAAGTAAATTCCGACATTGGGGTGACTGCCGTCTCTTTTTTTCTCAGTCTGTCTGGTGGTGGCTCGTCCTCTTCCTCCTCCATTCCCTTGCCCTGCGCCCTTCCACCCCTCCACCCACCCATCCTAATGCCATAGCAAAAAAAATATACAGTCCGCGCTTGATGGAGTGGATAAATGTATTAATCCAAGGGTGTTTACCTTATATAAGTGTTTCTTATACTAAAAAAATTTACTTTAAAATTACCTAAAAACTATTTTTTTTTAAATTTTTATTTAATTTTAAAATTATATATTTATTGCATATTTAATTTTTGAATAAACAAGTGAACTTCGATATGTATTACGCCTGTAATAAAAATGTACAAACAAAATTGTTGTGTTCTTGAAACTTTGTATTTGTAATTTTTACTGATGTTTTGGTTTCATATAATTTAAATAATAAAAATAAAATAAATTTTTTCATAAAAAGACATATTTCTTATTCTAAAAGTTCGTTCTATAGAACGCGTACTGTATATGCGAATGGGTGAGCCATGAATATGTGAAAAACAAAGACGGCAATGGCTGCGAATAAAAATCAATATTGATAGTAATTTCTTGGATGCTTTTCGAGACCTTCCCGCAGGAAGCGCAGTCAGGTGGTCATTGTCCGCTACAGCACCCCGTTTCCCTTCTTTCGCACTAACCACCCACATTTTCCGCCCTCTCGGGTGAGTCATTCAGCTCACGAACTCCGAATTCCATCAGCAACTCCCTTCTCCCTGGGAATGTGAAAACGCGGTCGCCCTCGCCGCATGTCCATTAAATATTGATTTCGATTCTGCACTACAGCACGCTACAGAAAAAACATATACAAAAACGATTAAAAAGCACTTTGCAAAACGGCAAATAAAATGCAAAGTAAATAAATGGCCCGCAACTCAATTTGGCCTGCAATTTTAACAGTTTATCGTACGCCAAAAGTACACACCAATAAATAAAATTAAAAATCAAAAATAACTTTAAAACAAAGTGAACATGAAAACGCGCCTCGTCTCGCTGACTTATCGCGGCAGTGCGTCCGTCGATCCGCGCTACTCCGCCTCCATGTTGCCATGGACCATCAACGACATTCGGTCCACGGAGAGCTACACAAAGGTAAATATTTTGAGAAGCCATTGAATTTTTCAACTCTTCTGCTTATAGCGTTTTTTAAGTACTTTTAATAAAAAGATTGGTTTTTTAAAAGTTTAATTTTAACAAGAAAGGAATCGAACTTGTTCAAGCCGAAGTTTATCCTTGCAGATCGTTAGCAACTAGTCGTTACATTAAAAATTTACCTCGATAAATGCGATACAATCGTATTCGCTTCGAGTTCCCAATTTGAACTGCATTCACTGAAACGTTCCCTGACGCACGGATTCTGAGAAACATGACCTCAAAATTAGAAAAATGCTGTAACTTGAAAACTTTCGGGAGGTATTACAAGCAAAGGGATTCTTTCTTTGCTATTGTGTCAACGCATTTCAAAAGTGACACTCCTTATTATTCAAATCTCATACTGAAAATAATTATAATTATAATTTAAGGATTTAGGATTATTTTGAGTATGGGACTCGAAAGATAAAGAGCATGCGTTGACAGCAAACAAAAACCAAGAATCCGTTTGCCTGTAGTACAACCTAAAAGTTGGAAAATTACAATATTTTTTCAACTACACGTCCTTTTTCTTAGAATTTAAATTTAAATTCAGGAATATATCCGTGTTGACTACTATGATATTTTCCTCAAAAATCAAACGTCATTTTAGACCAGCGGTCGGCAGCGTCCTATTAAGTGAGCATAGGGAATTGCTCTGCTCATCCGCTGCCCCTCACGGACACTGTAAAACAGCAGTCTGTACACACACATCAATGAGCTGCCCAGTGCAATTTACGCACACATATATAAAACAAAATGTCATCGTATGTGTGTGCCGACCACTGTTTTAGACCATAAGTTTGTTCGCCAATATTGTTTAAAATCCTCTAAAGAATGTTCTCCCTGTACGATTTATCCCCTTTTTCGGTCCATAAAAATCGACCCGCCGTAATATACATTTCTTCAAATTTTGTCAATAATATCCTTGTATCAAGTATGCTATTTAATGCCCATAAAAGCGGCAATTTTATATTTTACCTATTATATAACTCAAAATGCATTTTCCTTGAATTTGCTTCAGGGCTCGGGTCTTTAATTAATAAACATGAAAATAAGTATGTTGATGCTGTTACGTAGAATGTTGGACCCCAAGTCATCAGTTTTATTGATTATGATCCAATGGAATGGTATTGAATTGGATTTGATTTTAAATCCCACCCGACATGCCACCCACGACAAAACGATTCTTGTTAATCCAATCAAACATGGTATGCAATACCCATATCGCACATGACAGGTCTTCTCCTCACACTTTGTGCGCCTTTGGCGAAAACAATTAAAAGCAATTTGCCATTATTACGGTTGGGTAAATCAATTATGTGCCAAGTGAGATGCTGGCAAAATAGCGAACGAAATTTAATTAATAAGTTTGTGCTCCATAAAGGATAATTACTGCGATTAGTGACCCATCGGCAGCCGTTCATGGGGTGTTCGGCCCTATAAATAGAACCGAGATAACGGATGACGAACGCTGGAGGAACGAAACAACTGTGAGGCCTAAAACAAATTGAGGGACACCCCCGTCACCAGGTGCAACCCGAAGAGATTACGCATACGCCGCGGTGAACACGTGCGACAACAAGTTGCTCCACCCTCCCCGCGTGATATCCCCCTTCCCGCAACTCATCTGCCACGGCCCTTCGGGTAATATTATTAGAAGCTGGGAAATTAATTTTACCAAAGTCCGCAATTAGCCAGTCATCGGGTATGGGTGTGTCTTCCTTCTCGGGGGTTATCCCTTTGACAATCTGTCCAATAAATACAATTTGATGATTATATTTCACCTTAAAAATAGTTATAGAAAGCAAATTATTTTAATGTTTGTATGTACTTATGTATTATCTACTATTCAGTGTCAAATGTGCATTAATAAGATGAGTAGAAATTTAATATATTCGAGAGTTTTAAATTGTAACTTTTGGTATAGAAATGAAACTACAAAATATAAACTTTATGAAATATTATACTACATCTAGATTATTTTTAACACGAAGCTTAAAGAGTTTACTCTGTTGATTTTTTTGAGTGTACGTCATTAATTTGTGCAGTCCGAAATGTAATGACTAAGCAATCCCTTTTTGGGGTAAGAAACACTTTTTATATACCCATTTTGTTTTCGTTTACGTGTGTTCTGTTTCGGTTGGCTCTACACTCAAAATAAAATTAACCCTAAAGTCAAGGAAATCGCCCTACTTTTGTCTTCAAGACAAGCTCGCCCTAAATTTTAGGGTCACATTTTTCTATATTTTTGATTTTTTTTGACGTCATATTTCTAAATTTTAGGGTTATTTTACTAAATTTAAGGGCAAAAATTTCTAAAAAGTAGGAAATTTTCCTAAAAAATAGAAATTAAAAACAAAACAAAAAAACATGTTCAATCGTGATTTTTTTTGTATATACGTTTATATTATGTACTCCTCCCTATATACATATGCAGGCGTTGTGTGTCTTGTATATTGTGAATGTTAAAGGTTATGTATTTATTATTATGTATTTGCGCTTGGATTTCTTATCTAACCAAAGCCAAATGTTGTTGTAAATGTGGACTACGGGACTGCGGAAGATTGGGAATGTAGAAATTATGATTAGTTAATATTTTATCTTCATGAAAAAAACTTACATTTTTACTTGTCCGTCGGTGAGAATCGAACCCGGGTCTCCCGCGCGAGGAGCGAACGGCCTACATACTGGGCCATTGTAGCACTTAAATTTGCTGTGGCAAACCGAGCATTGTATGTAAAGGGTCAAGCGGAGAATACATTTGAATACTAATTGCATAATTTTGACCATTCGCGTTTTACTTATTTACATACATATATACTTATGTATATATTTATGCTATCGCAATTTATTTTATGTGTTGTATATAGTAAATAGCTAAATATAAACCAAATTATTTTCGGTTTACCGCTTGCCATCAATAAAAAAAGGAATAAAAAAAAGAGTAAAAAAACAAATTTTAAAAAAAACTTTAAAAAAAACTTTAAAAAAAAAAACTTAAAAAAAAAGGTAAAAATTAGTTTGCTCTGGGACTCGAACCAGGGTCGATTCGATTTCTAACCAAGCGCTTTAACCGTCTGCGCTACGAGTACAGCCGCCCGGCAGCTGACAAGTTCTGGCATTGAACATTTTGGTGTGCCAGAGCATGTGAAAACAACTATTTCTAATTTTTAGAAAAACTTTCTACTTTTTAGAAAATGTTTCTATTATTTAGGGTTAGCTTAATTTTAGGGTTAGGGCACTCATTTTTAGAAAAAGTGTTGCCAAAATATTTTATTATTTTCGTTTGCCTTTCTATTTTTCAGAAAATTATTTCTAATTTTAAGGGCATTTTTTCTAGATTTTAGGGTGATTTTAGTTCATGGTAACCATTTTCTACATTTAAGAAATACTTCCTGGATTTAAGGAAAACTTTCTTGACTTAAGAAAAATTTCCTTAGATTTAGAAATAACTTTCTTGTATTTAGAAAAAAGAAATTTTAATGGCGATTTTCTAAAATTTAGGGTTAAATTTATTTTGAGTGTATAGAGCTCAGCTGCCCGTTGTCGCATTTAAACGAATCCTTTCTACGTGCCTGCGACCGTGCCCCAAAGGATCTGCGGGGGAATCACACCTGCCTCTGGCAATTGTTGTTGATGCTTATTGAATGTACCTCGAGGTCTTGACTGCCCTCAAGAACCTTTCGCAATCGCTTCAACAAAAAATACTCGACTCAAATCTGCCCACAAAGTTTTGTATGTGTACTTATTTAAGCATGGCCTTTCTGAGATTCAAAAGGGAATTTACTTGGTTTACTTATTCTTGCAGTTATTATTTGAAATGCCTAGGGGAAACATTAAGGGGTTTAAGTAAATCTTTGATTCCCAGATTTCTTTTGTGTAATATCTATTTAGTGGTGTAGGTTCCTTAGAATTAATTTTTACAGTGGCGTTTAAATTTTTTTGTTAGTTCCAAAAGTTTATTTGAAGAAACTGAAAACTATTTCAGTAAATGCATTATTTTTAATATTATCTGTACCAAGAAATTTATTGAGGCAATAATTTAAGAAAAATATTAAGGATAAGTGAAGGTTAGGTTAGGTTAGGTCGTATAAGTTGAATATAAATTGATAGTACGTCATCAAGCTGTGCGTTAGCCTGCAGGCATGCTCATTTTCTATCCTCGGCGCATATCAGTTTCACAAACCATTAGTTCAAGCCCTGTGACATTTTATCCACGCTCTTGTAATCCACTTAGGCATCCGTACTCCACAAGGCAGCCACTACTCGTGGCTCGGGAGAGACCGGAACAGACCGTAATTCGCTTCATATTTTCTTATTTAAATATTTACTTAAGCCAGCACACTTGTTTATTATAGTTGTTAGTTTTTTTCCCTCTCCTTATTTTTGCATTTAAGTTGACACAAAACAAACACGCACCCGGAGCGAAAGAGACAGTGGCGAGTGGCATAAATAAAATGTTTGCCAGAGCTCTTGCTCCTCTTTCGCTCTCCAGTGTTATGTGGCGGCTTATTGCTTTATTATGTTAAATAGCGCATGAAAATTATAGCAAGCTTCTTGGATGGACTGCTGGTCGCGCCACGCCCACCCACAGCAAAGAAAAGTAGAAACGAAAGAAAATGCGCCCTCTGTGGCGACGTCATGCAATTTTTACATTTTTGTCAGTTTTGGTGACGCCTCAGCGGGAAAATTATTTAAGTGCAAAAGCAGCGCTAATATTTTGGCACTTCATAGCTAAGAATTTGTCTTGCAATTAGTGGCAGAAGATTTATGCGATTCAGCTGGAGTTCGAGAGTAGTGCATGGCAATTATTGAGGTTTATAAAATGTTGATTTGATTTTAACTGTTTAATTAGTACGAAAGTACACACAAAAAGCACAAAAATTTCCACAAACCATTTCTTGTTTTCCATGATATTTGGGTGCTCCTGAGTAAACTATTGTTGCATTTCCTACAAATTATACATTTTGAATTATGTGAATTCATTTTTTCGCTGAAATTGCAATCCCCATCGTGAAGCTTGGCCAATGTCTTTGGAATTTGACACTAAAAATATATATATTCTTGATCAGCTAGAGGAATAAATAAGCTTTTTCTTACTACTCATTCTTCTTTCTACTCATTCTATGTTTAGGTCAACTTCCAGAATTGTAAACTTTGAATAAGCTTTGAGCTAGAAGTTGCTGTCAATCTTTTAAGTACTTTTTTATACCAATTTTCTTCTGAAAAATATTCTACTTTAGGGTTTAATAAATCGTTTCACTTTTCACTTTCGTGTGCTTAATGTCGCCTATAAATCAGGTTTTACACATATATACTTTGAATGGGTGACTTTTAATCTCGCAACAATGGAGGGGATGACCATTTTTTTCACCCAAAGCATTCCCCTTTGATACATTTGAATAACACGAATGAGGCCTGCCAAGGATTTCAGGTAGTTGGTAGGGCCTCCCGATTTCCACCCATTTTCCATCCCCTTGCGATGATGGCGCGTGCTGCCCCATTGACGTCACAACGCCGGGGAGTTAGGTTAGGCGATGGGGCTGAAGAGGAAAAATCAATACGCCGCTTGTTTCATTTTCATTTCCATTTTCTCATTTCGCCTCTGCAATTGTTGCCACTCTAGCTGTTTTGCCGCCTCTGCTCGGGAAGTCACTCAAGTCGCGTTGGTAATCCGCTTTTGGTCGAGTCACTTGAGGCGCGTCACTCCCCCCGACTTCGACCCCCAAAGTCCTCTGCAGTGGCATAAATGCTTTCGCACTTCATCGTCGCCAGCCCGCTGCTCTCGAGTATTGCTGCTGTGGCTCACGCGGCGTATGCGCTATATTCCCAGTACACCCGGTTGCACCCCCACCATCTGACTCATCCTCATCCTCAGCCACTTCCATTTCCACTTCCTCTGCCACACAGCCACTCTATTCCAGTTGGCTGCTGTTTTGCATTTGATGGAACTCGGTTTCGTGGTCTGCTGATCCTTGGACCCATGTCTGCAGGTCTCTTGACATCGTTGCCATGTTGTAGATGTCGTTCCCGGATATTCGTGCAGATGACACACATAATTTTCCCATTACACGGAGCAAAAGCAGCTGGAAAACCATGTATTTAGTGGGTTGTCATTTATCTGTTACGGGCATAATCTATTTATTATAGCCGTTACTCGTAGAGTGAAGGGGTATATTGTATTCGTGCAAAAGTATGTAAATAATCTATGTATATGTTCTTGATCAGGGTCACTAGCCGAGTCGATCTAGATCTCGAAAACTACAAAAGCTAGAAGGTTAAGATTCCTACGCAGCGCAAGTTTATTTCAGCCGAGCGTCACGCCCCCTATAACGCCCACAATCGCCCACTAACGATTTTAAAATGTGTCTGGCGCCCACACCTTTAAAGATTTCCGAGAAGGACAAATGCAATTTTCTTGTGTATATTTATATCTATCGAAATGTAGAAGACATTTTTCAAATCGGAACATTCATTAAAAAGTTATGCGCAATAAAAATTGCGCTGAAAAAAGAATTTAGCTGAGTGACGGGTATTAGATTTTCGGGACACCAACCCGACTATAGCGTTCTCTCTTGTTAATACCTATCGAAATGAAGAAAAACTTTTAAAATGTGACAATCCATTAAAAAGTTATGTGCTAAAAATGAAATGGCCGCCACTAAATTCACGACTGCCTATCTGCATCTCCCACGCACTCCCTTAAGCTGAATAACGGGTATCTGATAGTCGAAGTAATGATTGCAGCGTTCTTTGTTTTATTTGTATTAGTTGTATTTTTATAACTGGTAATCGTAGAGTAAAAGTAAAAGTATTTGTCGAAAAGTATGAAACAGGTAGAAGGAAGCGTTTTCAATTCTCTACTCATAATGATCATAAATACATGCAAGGGTATAACAAGACAGAGGATTTGATTTTCAATTGAACATGATGGAATGATACTTTTCTTAGCGAATTAATAGTTAAAGAACTGAACAAAAAACTTCTAACGCTTGACACTGCTCGGACTGTCATCTATCCAAGAGGGGAGATAGACACCTACGCCGCTGAGAGATGAGCAGTCGCTGCCCACTGAAAGTCCGCTGTTGGACATACCGTCGCTAAAGGCTTCGTCCACCATGGGCTTCTTACTGCCTTCAATAAGGTCCGATTTTGAAATCGAAGGAGTGCTAGAATGGAGATCCTGATCTTGATCATCCGTATCCTCCACCCTTGGGCGGCGCAGTGGAGACATCACACCTAAGCGAGCATTACCCAGTTGCCGGCCGGACTTGTCTTTCTCAAACGACATCAGTTCACCGAATCGCAGGGCATTCAGGTTGTCAAAGTCCAAAAGTATGTCTTCCATATACATGAGCATCAGACTGCGATGGATCTTGGTCCACGAGGACAACGCAGCCAGGCTCCAAAGTTGACTGGAATGGCGGGCAAAAGTGCCGATGTAGGTGTTTGCCATGTGTGCAACACAATCGATCAGCAGGTAATCCTTCTTGTATTTCGCAACAGTGTCCTCGTCCAGGATTTTCTGCGGGGAGAAGGGCGCCTCGTAGCACAGCTGGGCGAATCCCCAAATAAAGGGCACAAACTGGAATTTATCCAGGGAGTAACCTCCATGCCAGTTAGATGATACCACAGAATAGGTGACCTGCAGCCGGCGCACGAACTTCAAGTAGCGATCGAAGAGAACCAGAGCCGAGGCGACCAAGTCCTCCTCCCGATTAAGGATCTCCGCCTTGAAAAGCGCGCACAGGAAAAACAGGAAGCTGAGCTCGTGCCCAATTCCATACTCGATTTTGGTGGAGCTGCCGAAGGCCCCCGATAAGTACACACCCAGTTCATTCACGTGCCTGCACTTGCTGGCCGGCACAGCTTTCTCTACCATCTGGTAAATATCCCTCAGCATGCTGTGTGCCCACCGCCTGTATCCTTTGTTGGCCGGATCCAATGAGGCACTGGGAGTGGCAGTTTGGATGACGGGTGCCGGTGGATTGACCTGAATCATGACGTCCAGTTTGTCGAAGATGGCCGCCAGTCGCCGGATGTTCTGGCTGATCGGAAAGGAGTCGGTGTTCCTTATTCCCTGTATCTCGGTGCTCACATCGTTCAAGTACGTGATCAGTGTGAAGTACGCCTTCGAGAGCTGCCAGGGCTCGATGTCCGAGGTGGACTGCAGCCGGCACACAGGCCCGATGGTGCTTCTTCGATAGAAGGCGGCAACCCGCTTGGGATTCACTTCGTCCTTCTGCTCCATCTCCTTCAATATTTGTAGTTCTTTTGTGTCTTCTTGTATACTTTACTTGTATTTAAATGTCAATCTATTTAAAATCAAGTTGTTAGGCAAGGCCACCTAAACTAAATTACTTTTAGCATACTTTTACGAGTATCTTTGGCCCAGTGAAATTTCAATTTTTGGTATGAATGGCATATTTTATTAAACTTTTCTACTTTTGAGGATCAATGTTCGAATTGATGTTTTCGTTTATTTATCTAGTATCCGAATTGTCCGATAGCTAGTGCAAATGCATTTATTAACTACTATATCTTGCAGATAGAACGCAAATTATCCTCTTGCATGTTTAACATTAATAACTTATGAAAAATTAATACAAATTCCTTTAGAAATTTAAACAATTTTTCATTTTACTTTCCCTTATTAAGAAAACTAACAATATTATATAAACTCAGTAAAAACAAGAGAGAACGCTATAGTCGGGTTGTTGTCCCGACTATCTAATACCCGTCACTCAGCTAAAAGAAGTGCGAAGTTGGTGTCCCGACTAATAATCGTAACTCAGCTAAAGGGAGTGCGAGGGAGATAGATATATAATTTTTGATTGCGTATAACTTTTTAATGAATGGTCCGATTTGAAAAATGTCTTCTACATTTCGATAGGTATAAATATACACAACAAAATTGCATTTATACTTGTCGGAAATCTTTAAAGATGTGGGCGCAGGACCCATTTTAAAATCGTTAGTGGGCGATTGTGGGCGTTAGAGGGGGCGTGGCGCTCGGCTAAAATAAACTTGCGCTGCGTAGGAAGCCAAAGAATATGTGTGGAAAATCTCAACCTTCTAGCTTTTGTAGTTTCTGAGATCTCAGCGTTCATACAGACGGGCAGACAGACAGACGGACAGACGGACAGACGGACATGGCTAGATCGACTCGGCTAGTGACCCTGATCAAGAATATATATACTTTATGGGTCGGAAACGCTTCCTTCTAGCTGTTACATACTTTTGCACGAATCTAGTATACCCTTTTACTCTACGAGTAACGGGTATAATGAACTATTTAACTATTGCCATAAAAATAATATACCTATGAATAATGAGTTTTAAGTAGAGATATCGTTGTAAAGTGAGTGGCCGTAATCCAGACTTAATAGTCGGGTTCCTTCGACTGACCCCGTGAATAGTTGGGGCTATACTTGAGAGGTAGCAACTCGTTATTAAGACGTCAGGAGCAGCAACAACAGCAGTAATGGCAGTTAATGCTAATTATATGGCTACACTGCGCCAACGCTAGCAACAACAAAAGCAACCACGAATAATGCAATGAACAATTGTAGACAATTTATTAGGCAACAGCCACAATAACAACAACAAATAGCAGCTGCGGCATGAAAAGGTAATGGAAAAACGGTTTAAAGGTATAAATCACTGGGCAAAAACACGCGACGTCTGCTCTTGGCAGCGACGTCGACGTCAGCGTCGCGATACTAATGAAAACAACAACATCCGCATACATAGCAACAAAAACCAGCAAATGCAAATGCAAAAAATGTAATTTCCCTCCCCAGCTGTTTTTGACATGACGCTAACTGCACTTCAAAGCAAATGAAAATGCGTGCAGGAAAGTGGATAGAAGGGAGGTCAGGTGAAAATAGTCCAGGGTGGACCAGTGATTTAAGGATACTAATCAAATGCTTTAAATATAGTTTGTTATACCCGTTACTCGTAGAGTAAAAGGGTATACTAGATTCGTGCAAAAGTATATGCTAGAAGGAAGCGTTTCCGACCCATAAAGTATATATATTCTTGATCAGGGTCACTAGCCGAGTCGATCTAGCCATGTCCGTCTGTCCGTCTGTCCGTCTGTCTGTCTGTCCGTCTGCACTATGGGGCATTTGACCACTTTTGTTGGCCGAAATTAATAACTCGGTCATTTCAAAAGATATTGACTTGAAACTTTACCAGTCGCCATTTCTTATCCCCCCGCATATTATATATGATAATCATCCGGATCGGAAAACTATATCATATAGCTGCCATAGAAACGATCAAATTAACTTTGCTGTTTTTGAAGATAAATGCACATAACTTTAGAAATAGCAATTATGTAAGTTTTTAAAACAATATTAACAGTTTTGTACAAATCGGACGACTATATCCTAAAGTTCTCAAAAAAAAGGGGCAAAGGAAAGAATTTACTTTACATTTGTACGACTTTTTGTTCAAGTTGTAGCGGAACTTTCGTTTTAAAGCCGCTAAAGTCCACTTAAGTTAGTCAATTACAAAGCTAAGTATTTCTACTATATTTTGATAATAATTTAAAGTCACGAAAGTCCTTACTTCCTTAGCCACCAGTGCAAACGATAGGAGTTTGTGAAATTTGAGGTTATGGTCTAAAAAATTAAATTACAGAAAAAGTGGCAATAAGTGGCGATTCTGACCATATACATTTTAACAACAATTAAATAATCTAAAAATCCCAATAGGTTCCAGAAGTGGACTCCGCTGGACTCACTTTGTTGCACCATTTGAAAATTAGTTTTCTTACAAAAATGTACTTGTTAGACCACTCCCTTTAACACTCATTTGTAAGAAAAAACCGTCTAATTTTTGTCGTCGAACCACACAAATACTTAGTTCATAGCATAATCCTTTAAATCCAATCCAAAAAGTTTACTTAGATTGCTTAAAAACTCAAATTTAAAGCACTTTAAAACTGCAAGCAAAAAGTCGAAATACAACAGCTCGATAATTGCATATCAAACAGCTGATTTAACAGCTCCTACCTTAACAGAGGCGACCTCTATCGGATTTCTGTAAACGTAACATTGTTAAATGGTCTTTTGTTAACACATCCTCAAACAACATTTTTTGTTTTAACTACTTTTAAAAAATGGGTTTTGGCCAACCAAAGTGGTCAAATGCCCCATAGTGGTCTGTATGAACGCTGAGATCTCAGAAACTACAAAAGCTAGAAGGTTGAGATTTTCCACACATATTCTTTGGCTTCCTACGCAGCGCAAGTTTATTTTAGCCGAGCGCCACGCCCCCTCTAACGCCCACAATCGCCCACTAACGATTTTAAAATGGGTCCTGCGCCCACATCTTTAAAGATTTCCGACAAGTATAAATGCAATTTTGTTGTGTATATTTATACCTATCGAAATGTAGAAGACATTTTTCAAATCGGACCATTCATTAAAAAGTTATACGCAATCAAAAATTATATATCTATCTCCCTCGCACTCCCTTTAGCTGAGTTACGATTATTAGTCGGGACACCAACTTCGCACTTCTTTTAGCTGAGTGACGGGTATTAGATAGTCGGGACAACAACCCGACTATAGCGTTCTCTCTTGTTTTAATTTGATTTATTTTAATTCTTATTGGGTTCGACTATTATTAAAGACCAGAAAATTCTTAAAGTATCCTACTCAGATCTTAAGATCTTTTAGATATAAGCACTTGACAGTCAAAATAAATAATTGAGTAAATAATTGCATAAATATTGCATAAAATATGTTTCTAAGTTCATGAGCCCCAAGGTGTGGCCAATTATAATGAATTCAAAGAAATATTTATAACTATTTTATGCTGTGATATTTAAAAAAAATCATTAAGAGGTCAGCCTTCGTACACACATCGTTTTTAAGTATACCGCAAAAGGCTTGATTCCAATTAGGAATAGCGGAAAAGAGAGAAAAGAATAGCTAAAAGAGGTCAAGCAGTCAATTGTTCCAGCAAGTGAACAGATTACGTATACGCAGTGTGCCACATCAGAATTTTTCTTTGTAGTTCTGGTAAACAAATAGAAACAAAGAATGGACAAATTATTAAGAATGGGTAACTCAGAAAGAAAAATTAAGAACAAGAGCGACGATTTCACTTTCCAAAGAAGAAAAGAATGAGATAGTAGGTCAACGTCTTTTGTACATACGGTTTTTCAGTAAAGTAATTAATATAAATGCTAAATGTATATAAAAAAACCTTTTGAGATCAAACGTGAACCGAAACCAAAGCTTTGCTATTTTTAAATCACAATTTACCTGCCAACAAAGCCTTTGCGAGGCACTCAATTGGATACTAAATAAGCGAAGAGTGCCATTGTCTGTGATGGACAGCCCGGGTCCTTCGTCAAGTGTCAAAGAAAATTAATTAAATTTAAAATGTCATGGCAGAGTGTCTGACTTGCCTCCAACTCCGGCCGTATGTAAGGTATTGCTTTTTAATTTAAATTAAATGGATGGGGAGCAAAACGAAAACGTTAGCTATTCCCCAAGTCAAGACGTTCTTACTAATTACCGGTTTCCAGGCGGCGTCATTAGGCGTCCTTTATGGTCCTGCGCTCTACCCTCATAAATTTCTACCTTAAATTTTTGTAGGTTTACAACTCATTAAAAAACTGAAATTTTCACTTTATTAATTAAATTAAATTCTTTAATAATCAGTATCATTTATGTTTTTATTTTTTATTTCATGGAATGTATTTAGAATGCTTTTAATCCATTATTTATTTGAGCTCTGCATTTCTTGAGAATTGGAATTTCGAAAAATCAATACAATTTCTATCCATTAGAGCACATGAAGGCACCTAAGTTATCCAAGCCATAAGTTTTACTTATCGTATTTTTGTTATTTCCTCGCTTGTCTAAAAAGTTTTCAGCTCTGTTTTTAGTTCGCTAAGTTAACGCCCATCTTATGAGCAAACCCACGCCCACACACTCTCGAACGTGAGCAACACTTTACTTTGATTTTAATTTAATTTGCGCAGAAGAAGTTTTCACTTTGTCGGAGCTTTGCAGGCGATAATTAACGCCTTCATTTGCTGCCCCCTTAGTAATTCAACCCTTTTTACGGTAAGCAATTGGCGATATTAAAGAGACTGCGTTATTACCAGTGGATTGGTTCTGGGAAGTCTGCTTTTAATCAATTCTTCATTACGGCAGTTTTCTCATTACAGCGTTTTAATTCAGAAATTCTCGCTATAAATATGTTTTCTTTATTTATATTTTCCTATTTGCAAAACCTTTGACAACAGAAACTTGTGGGGACCCGAGAAAGGCCGCCCTAATGGGGCTAAAAACACAACGACCTGCTTTTTTGCCAACTACAGCCCTTGCAGCCACAACAACGACACACCCAGCATTGAGCACAGCACAATTTCCGCCTCCCCAACCATGTTCCGAAAAAAAAAACCACCCAGCTCATAGTGTCGACACTCCCTAGTTACCGGGCTTTAGTTGTTGGCATAAAAAAGGGCCAAGAACAGAGGGAAAAACGAAAATACAGGCGGCGGAAGAAAGCAAATGAGAAGGACGGGCACCAGGCGCCGGAAATGGAGCAGCCGCCATGTTGGCAGGCATGTCATGTTGTCGTTGTCGTCGTTGTCACCATTGCTCCTTCTCTATTGCCATCTCGCTCTAAGCCGCGCTCTCTTTCTACTTGTGCATGCAAGTATGTAAACTGATTAAAAGGAATTTAATATTGTTAATCTGCTTCGCGTAGTAGAAACATTCTGGCAAATTATGAAACAACGTGCAATTCTTCGCATTGTTTTAGTTAGTTTCGTTTCTCCGGAATTTTTTCATGATAAAAAGTGCGATATTTTAAACCCAGCTTATAAATATATATTTGCCCAATAATTATATTAAATAATGGAAAACAATGGCATTTACACTTTAAAACAAGAAAGGAAGCCGAAGCTTATATGTATACCCTTGTTAAATTTCGTTTTATTTTCGCATTATTTTGGTATCCTTCCTATAGCAGCTATATAATATAGTCGTCCGATTTTTTTTAAATTAAATTCGAAATTCTGAAATATTAAAAAACAGTCATATCCTAGAGTAGAGGAGAATAGGGGACAGGTCTGTAGGTTGGTACACCTTTTGTTTTTGATCTGCAATTTCGACATTCACTTAGGCGTGGGCGGCTAAAACAAACTTGCGCTGCGTAGAAAGCCAAAGAATATGTGTGGTTGGACTCAACTTTCTAGAATTTGTTGCTTCCGAGATCTCAGCGTTCATGCAGACAGACAAACAGAAATGGCTAGATTGACTCGGGTATTGATCCCGATCAGGAATATATACTTAATAGGGTCGGAAACGCGTGCTTCATCTTTCCGACGAATACAATACACCCCATTACTCGACGAGGAACGGGTTTATCTACCTAGAAAGAACGAAGGCAAATTTACGACTGAAACATTAATAGATGTGTTTTAGTCCAAAAACTTATTTTCAAAGAATAATTAGTAATTACGAATGCTTTTAATAATACATATGTTCCATGTCTGATAACTATTTTGTAAGTGCTAGTACTTCCAATGTGGTAGGAACTTTCTGGTGGAAGCATGCAAATTGAATAATTAAGTAATGCATATATGTATTTGCCACTCCGTAGCGAAGCTGCAGCTTTAATTTAATTACTGATGTATGTACATCCTTTGTCTTCCAGTTATCGGTGGGCATTGAGCATGGCATCCTGGAGTCGTACAACTCGGACTTCGAGCTGCAGTTCAGCCACCCCCTGAAGCATATCGTCGGCATGTGCCGCATCATCCACAAGCCGCAGGCCAAGAGTATCGGCAACGGCTTCCTGCAGCTGAAATCGGGCTCTAGTCATGCCTCGGCCGCCTCGGCAGTCGCTTCCTCGATGGCCGGCGGAGCCAACAACTCGCTTACCGGAAACGGACTGCGCCACACACTGACCGCATCCACATCGTACGGCTCACTCTCTTCCAGTGCGGCGTCCGCTTATCAGCTGCAACAGCAGCAGGCGGCCGAAGCCTCGGCGGAGCAGCCGCAAAACTTCATGGAATTCCAGGGACCCATCACCGGACTGGTCTACTTGCTGAAGGATCCCAAGGATCCCCTGCTGCACATCTATCTCTTCGAGTGCGAGGCCGTCGAGGAGGTAAGTTGAAGTCCGAGTCCCGGCCTGAAAACAGAAGACGGATGGGAAAAGTTGTCGACAGTTTTAGCCGACATTGTGACAGTTGTCTGTCCGGTGGCATTTCGTTTTCTCACAATCTCTGCTATTTTGAGGGGAAAGTGAACCGAACCGAACGGCATGAATGTGTGTGCGGACAGTTTGTGGCCTTTTCAAATGCTTTCATATGGAAATGTTTAGAAAACTTGCCACACAATAGTTTTCCATATAAAAACTACTCGGATTAAATTGCACAGAACGTGCAGGAAAAGCCCCAAAAGGATTTTACGGGTTTTTGTTGCGACCATAATAAATTTAGATGCTTAACGAGCAACTACTGTTGGATACGCAAATGTGACATATTTTTAATTGCTGTCTTTTGTTGGGTTGGTTAAAATGCATATAGATGTCCCAGCGATCATTTTATGCCGATACTGAATTTGTTATTATCGTATAAATAAATACTAGATTTTAAATATACCATTTTCAAACAATACCGTTGCGATATCAAACTTGTAGTGATAATCGTCATCCCCATAATTTGGAAAATTATTATTGATCATAACTGTACAATAAACACCTTAAATTCAGGCCTGTTCCCAGGAGCTCTACCAAAATAGTAACTACAATTTAAGTCCGATCTGACCTCGTCTCCTTATCATGTGTTAGATTCTAATGTCTGAGCCTATTGGACGCCCAGCACGCCATAAATTGACTTCCGTTTGCATTTCTAATTAAAACAGTTCAGCAAGTAGAGGCAACTAAATTGGGGCTGTTCGACGAGGGAAGCCAGCGAGAGCAGTCCATTAAATTAGGACGGCTTTACATGACCTTCTGCCAAATACACGCAAAAAGTTAATTCGGAAAACAAATCCACTTCTACGCTTTTCGAAGTGGTCACGCCCCTCGGAAGAATAACAATAGGGTGTAAATTAAATTCCAGCTTTTTGGCAGAAAACTTGCCGAAAAAGTGCACTGTAACCGAAAACAAAGTCACAACAACTTAAATCTACCAACTTTTTTAGTGCATAGTGCTTTTAAAGTTAAATTAATGGGCGATACTTTTAAAGCTCACCCTGTAAGGCTTGCAATTTTCATTTACTTTTGAATTTTTGGTTTAATTCTCCATTGAGCGTTCCTCTTAATTCCATCGTAATTGGTAGAGAATTTTTCACAAGAGCTGTTGTTGGTTCATTGCATGTCAAAAGCGTTTTAAGCCCTGCGTTTTGGCCGTGATGTTGACTTGGCTTGATTGTTGATAGTGGATTTTGTTGGTGGGAGCTGGCGTTGCTCACGGGTTTTATTGAGTTGTGCCTCCTGCATTCAGTATCCAGCTGGTTTGATTTACGAGTATCTGGGTCAGTGTTCGCATTTCAGTTTTACGGTCGCCTTAAACGCCTAACAAATTTCGATGGCATGTTAAAGTCTAATGCAGGCTAAACAAAGTATTAATGTTTTTGGCAGAAGCTTACATTGAAGGATTTAAAATTAGTAACCTAACCTTTTTTTAAATATGATGTAAATTTAATCACTTGGCTCCAGCGACTGCAAATAAGTGTCATGAGTTTAAAAAAATTGATAGTCAAAATAGCGTCCAAAAAATAAGGGAAAAGAACCACTTACTTAGTATGGTTCGGCAAATGGGAAAACGTGATAAACCTTTTTTTTAATTTTTTTATTTTAGAAATTAAAAATAAGTCTTATTTTTCAATTTTTAAATTAAAAATTGAAAATAGGTCTTATTTTTCAAGAAATAAATAAGTCTTATTTTCCAATTTTTATAATAAAAATTGAAAATAAGTCTTATTCTCCAATTTTTATTATATAAATTAAAAATAAGTCTTATTCTCCAATTTTTATTATATAAATTGAAAATAAGTCTTATTCTCCAATTTTTATTATAAAAATTGAAAATAAAAATTGAATGCAAATATCTTTTAAACCATTGGGAATATGGGCCAAAATCTAAAACAGGATTGATCTTCGAGTCAATACCTTTCATATGAGCTATGACATGACTATGTCCAAGGATATTTTAAGGACTTATAACGCCTTTTAATGTTTTATATATGTAACTTCTATGTTCGGTGGAAGTACATGACGTCAAAAAAAACCATTTAGTACCAGAAAATCCAAATGATAAGAATAAATATCCCAGTCGAAATGCACCTGTCCATCTGTCTGATTTTGCATAAAGTAATTAAAAATGAAAGTCGCGAATTTTCCAATTATTTATAAGTATATTTAGTTAAGTTAAGTTATGCATGATCCACACAAATAAATCCTCTTGTTCCTAAGAAATCGCGGTTTTTTAAGAATCGACATAGAATACATATTTAGGTATCTGAAGTTAAGTTATGTAAGATACACAAAAATATATCCTCTTCTTCCTAAGAATTCGCGGTTTTTACAAAATTGATCTAAAGATGTATTCCGCGAATTTTTAGGATTAGCTTGAGTGGATTATACACAGTTTAACTTAAAACTTAAACTTATTTTTAAATTTTTTTTATAAAAATCAACAAATAATTATTATTTTCTTATTTTTATTTTAAAAATCATAATAATTACGATCCCTGCTTGGCTCACAAATTTTCCTTGTCGTCCTATATACATATTTGCTTTCTTTCAATACGTTTAATCGAAGCATTTCTTTTTAATTAATTGCATGACTGTTTGCTTGCATTAAATTAAGGTGAAATAAAATGCTTTCCTTTCCAGCAGTTTAATCATATTTCACTTTTAATATCTAGAATATTTATTAAAATACGCTTTTGAAAATAATAATAATAAATAATTAAAACCAAAATTATTCTGGAAATTAAGAGTATTCAATTTACTATTTAAATAAGGGTATAAATTTGCAAAAGATGAATAACTTAAGAACCTTTTCTCTTCAAATTCGTGGATAAGAAACATTTTTCAAGGATATGTATGTCATACTTAAATAATTTGAACTGTTATATCTTCCATACTTCCAAGAAGATTACATAGTCGAGCTTTTCTCTTGAAATGCATGCATTAAAATCACTACCGCTATTTCTAATTAGGTACTGCACCACGTTAAGCAAAGCGAGCACCAAATACATAGCCCAACATAATAGCCCGACTGTGGTCAACCTAGTGAATACGTTCCGCCGATTGAGCCACTAATTGAAGCCATTAGGCGCCGAGATAAACGCACTTTCTCTTCCCCACCCTTTCTATTTTCAAAGCGAGAAACAAAAAAGGCGAACCCATTACGAAAATGCTGCAAAAATAAAGCTAATTGCGAGGAGTCGGCTGAGCGTGGCATACTTTCGGGGGCGTTAGCAGCTGTGGTCCTCGGCGGCACTTAAACAACATCATAAGCTCGTAAATATTTAAAGCCCTTTTGTCCGCTCCACCTGTGAAATGTCCTTGTGCATCATTAGCAGGTGGATCCGAGCCGGGTCCTTTGGTAAATGACGCATGGCGCAGAGCTGCCATTCGGCTGTTTAAACACCGGGTTTATTGTCTTCCCTCCCACAGGATGTGCACGAAGTGGACGCGTTGGCCGTGGGAGATGTAAGATCCTAAATGGGCATTCAAGGCGAATGTCAGTGCCAGTTTTTGGAACTGGCCATCAACATGTTCTTCTGCATCGCCGCTTGAACAACTCGGTTGGTCCAACAAGAAACTAATCGAGTGTGCTGGCAACCTTTCAAACTGTCGACAATTTCGCATCCTTTGAAGATGCTATCGTCAGGCTGATGAAGAGCCATGGAATTGGCTTGGAGTGTCCACATAATGCTCTGAAAGGCCTCAGAAATATACCTAAAGCACCTATACCATTTTCCAATATTCTTTTGCACTAGATAACTTTTTGCAACCGATATTGAACGTTTAAAGTACCCGCCCTCCTCGAAAGCCGCTCTCTCCGGCAGATAATTGGCTTTCGCTTTTATTTCCTCGAATCGCATGCAAAATATTGCCTCCTTCCGTTTGGGAACAAGAACTTGGCAAGCCTGCCCGGTGAACAAATTCAATTTGTCGCACATTGGGGAAGGAAGAAGCTTTTTATACCATGATTAGATTGGAGTCGGTCCTTTTCTCTTTACTTAGTTTTGTGCCGTTGTTGCTTCGGTTCGTTGTGCTTGTGCCAAATTGATTTTATAGTTAGGTTTTAGTTTGTTAGCGGAGAGTGATGTATAGTGCCTAAGGTTTCGTAGATTGCATATCGAAATTATATGAATGTTTTTAACAAAACCACTCTTCAAGTGATGCAAAATAAGAAAAAGAGATTATAATGATAAATTTAAAATAAAAAGTTTATTGCGTTCAGCAAAACAACATGATACCTGATAACTAATGGATTTCTTACGATAGGTCTGCTGAACGCACATGATTACTAATCATGATGCAAGAATTTTGCATCAGTCATCTACCTGATTAGTGAAAAAATACTACCTTTTCTTGACAAATGTTACATGGTATATGTAAAGATAGTCGAAATATCTAAACTAATTAATAAGAGAGATCGCTATAGTCGATCACTTTGACTATCATATATCCGTTACTTAGCAAATGGAACTGCGAGGGAGATGGAGATATTCAAGCAGCAAAGCAGGCAAGCAGTCGCTTCATTATTTCATTTATTATTTGTACATAACTTTTTAAAGAATGGTCCGATTTTATAATGTTCGATAAGTATTATAAACACAACCAAATATTATAGCTATCATGGTAACGATCTGTTAGGGTATATAGACTTGGTCTTGCCGAAAATAGCTTCATTACTTCCTTTATGCGCGCCTTGATCAACGGTCTTGACGTTTTTAAGATATTTGTCTGAACTTTGTGGTTTATTATTTCATATTTTAGTCAAGAGTATTATTTCTTCGGCCGGTCGAAGTTATCTTCTGATATCGTTTTTGTGTATTTTTCCGGAATAGAAATTCCCATTTGCACTAAACCTTTTTCTTTGACTACTACGTACTATATACATATATATCTGCTTTATGACT